TAGAAATTCAATTCAAAGCATTTGGACCTGACCTCGTTAATATTGCACTAACCTACTACAATCTAGGTTCTGTTTACAGCGATATGGGAGAGTACAAAAAAGCAAAAGATTTTTATGAACGAACGATGGAAATTCAAACGAAAGCATTTGGACCTGACCATGTTAATATCGCGACAACGTACAACAATCTGGGTTTGGTTTACAAAGATATGGGAGAGTACGAAAAAGCAAAAGATTTTTATGAGCGAGCGATGGAAATTGAAACAAGAGCATTTGGACCTGACCATGTTAATATCGCGACAACGTACTGCAATCTGGGTTTGGTTTACAGTTATATGGGAGAGTATGAAAAAGCAAAAGATTTTTATGAACGAGCGATGGAAATTCAAACGAAAGCATTTGGACCTGACCATGTTAATATCGCGACAACGTACAACAATCTGGGTTTGGTTTACAAAGATATGGGAGATTACAAAAAAGCAAAAGATTTTTATGAATGAACGATGGAAATTGAAACGAAAGCATTTGGACCTGACCATGTTAATACCGCGACAACTTAGAACAATCTGGGTTTTGTTTACAGTAAAATAGGAGAGCACGAAAAAGCCAAACATTTTTACATACAAGCGATGGAAATTAAAACGAGAGCATTTGGACCTGACCATGTTAATATCGCGACAACGTACAACATTCTGGGTTTGGTTTACAGTGATATGGGAGAGTACGAAAAAGCAAAAGATTGTTATGAACGAGCAATACTATAGAAATTAACACTGAAGCTTTTTAATGCTAGTTGCTACAAAAGCTTCCATGTTTGAGAAAATTTACAACGAGATAGAAGATGAAATGGATTTGTGGTTCCGCGAAGTAAGGAAAAAATTTACACTAAATTCCTAACAGCAACAATTGTATATAAATAAAGTTTAAATATATTCTTGATAATACACAATACAAACATTTGTATTTTCATGTTTTCAATAGTCATTTATTTACTTGGGACGGGGCGGGTGGCTGAATGGTTAATTGCGTGAGTTGCAAGCCAGACGGCGCGAGTTCAATCCCGGCTCGTGGCACATCTGGCAATGTGTCTGTAAACCTAGCCCGGGTTGACCAAAGCCATGTGAGGGAAATTTGGTAGAGGAAACTATGTCCTCGGATGGACTGTATCTGCATCTGCAATGTTGCAGCCTTGTCACAATGTGTCACGCTGATATCAGAATTGTAGTTGCGTGAAAGGTACGAGTGATTGTAGTCTGGTCAGCTGCCTTCACTATAATTTAAGTAACCAGGATGTTCCACTTCGTGGTACCCTCATATGTCGAAATCGATGGAGTCCATTATTTACTGGAACAGTTATTTCTATTAGCTAAAAAATTGTATGGAACTTTTACAGTGTATATGACATTAGTACGTTTGCAATGTATCAAGTCTGAAGTTGTAAATCTCCTTAAAATGAGGGAAGTGTTTGTTGGGTTAATTACATAAGAGCAAATCCATATCTTAGAGGAACCATAACAAATTTTACATCTCTTTTGTTGAATGCTGAAATGACCAGAAGACTACTTTGCCATATGAGGATGCAGTTTTTTCTGTATTCATTTTGGTAACTCATAAAATATATTTTTTGTTTATAAATATTGTAGATGGGTGGATTGCTTGATAATTGTTAATGGATTCATTATTTCTTCCTGTTTATAGTTGGAATTACTCCCTTAATTTTGTGACACTCTTCTTTTTTATAACTGGGAAATCTGCAATTTACGTAATGTAATAATTTATTTTAATTCTATATTTTCATTCGATGGAGGTATTCACCGATAGTTGTGATGTTGAATTTGTTGATCTCACTTTCATTTTTATCTAACTTTTCTGAAATCAGTTTTAAGTAAGATTATTTATGCAGCTGGGAGCTAGATTTAGAGACGCAAAAAATGCATTTCAATGTCATAGAAATAAAAGACTCATTTGATTGTCCATATCTGGCTAGCCCAATAATTGGTCATAAAAAAACCAAGAAAGTGGTTTTTTTATGACTAATGAATGAAACGAAGGCAAGAGCGCTATAATCGATTTTCTAGTAAAATTCAGTTCTGATGTGCTTGTTTAAAAGCATTTTTAGTGAAAAGTTTGACGTAATAAATATTAGTACAACCACTATATTGCTCCTTACAAAAGCGTGCGATTTGATGTCACTATAAAATAGTTAAAAAAGCTCTACTTATAGCCCCTAAAATTACATGAAAATTATGCTTTTCAAATGTTAAATATATACATTGCGCCAATGTTTAAAGTCTTCTTGACTACTGTAAATGACCGAATAGAAATGACCATATAGCTCTGTGACCAACGAAATGATAGTAAACTTTTTTAATTGTTTTTACTCCCTCTTATTGAATTTTAATTTCTGATGATTTTATATATAACACACGTGAAGTACCAATTTAGTTCCACACTAAGGACACTGTTTTTTGAAGACCTAACCGAAATAAAAAATTCCAGCGGAAAAACTTGAACGGTATAAACCAAGAGCGAAGTCGTAAGGGCTTGGAGAATACTGAACAGGAAAAAACCGCTAGGGATTTTAGCCGAAGTTCCGCACGCCAGGGGACCCGTATAAACAATAAACTTTACTTACTTTTTCAACGAGCCAAGAAACCAAAAACAAAAAGCCAAGAGCGAAAACAAACGCAAAATTTTCATATACCCTTCAAAGCCTAACAATTTGTTAGTGTTTACAAAGGTATTTTACATATTGTAATCATTCATCATTTTAAACGTACAAATAACGAACCGAAGCTGACATATTTCAGTTTAACTACACGTAATTAAATCGATCACCGAACCGGACAATTTTCTACTTTGAACGAGAAAATTGTTTAACTGTAGGGAATTTCTTAAAATGTGTGATTTGCTCATCTAATCCACATTAAAATGAGTTGCACCTAACGCCACCAAAACGTCCCTATTTTGCACCGTTTCATTCAGTGCGTTTCATTCAATGCTTTATAGAAACAAAAATGTTTTTAGCAGCAAATTTTTTACGTATTTCAAATAAATACAATTCAAATGAAAATGTTATTTCGACAGAAACCACTTGAAGAAGCCCACGTTGGATTTGGTTACAAAAATCAAACAACTAAAATACCGCTGGCATTAATATGTTATGTTTTACTTTGACAATAATCACATAAATGACTTTCATAGAATCACGACTGGTGAACATAGAAACCTTTGTGTAACTATTGAGTAAATTACGCGATATCGTCTGCGGTTTATCTTCATAATAACCATTTGAAAAGAACAACAAAACAATGCACTTTCATTCAAACTATAAGTTTCTTAGCTTGTATGTTTTTATGAAGATATTCCGCATACTTAGACTTGTACTAATCGTTCATTTTTATGCTCCCTTGCGCTGTGGCTTGCAACATTGAAATTCCGCAGGAATGAAGTTATCTTTAAAAGAAAGCAACATAACCATTTTTACATTTAAACTGGAAATGTCTTAACAAACTTAATACTTTTCTAAAGCTTCAATTTGTCGACGTATAAACGACTGAAATTTAGATTGAAATTTCCTTCCAAAGTCATTTCTTTATTAGTGGAGTCCTCCTTTAAATTTTTAAAGGTACTAACTCTACACTCGTTATTTGAGAGTAGCATGTAACTACTCGCAGCAACTACAGCGCATGTATGACCTTTCTAAAGTTTCTACCTGCGCATGACACCGGAATTCCGCCCTGAAAAGAAATGCCCCATGAAGGAGGTAACCCATCATGCCATTAACTTAACCTAACCTAGTGTATGTAGCAACCACGGGTGACCTCCAACCGTTGTGGGTTGAACTATTCATACATTATTGGGGATCCATGCTGGAGTGCCTTAATAGTCACTGTAGAAAGCTGTTCATGAAATTGGCCAACTACAACGACCGCATGCTTTTACCGTTTTAGGGGAGAGATAGTTTTCTTTCCACAATAACCCCAATCTTTGTTGGTTTTCAAAAGGTCTTGCTCGTTTGATCCAGTCCTCTAATGTCTTCTAACAGATGCAATTTGCATCCTCTACGCTAAGGTACCATCTGTACCCATTAACCCCAAGTAGAAGTTGCCTTCGTTTGGCCAAACTTCACTTACATTTCCGATTCTAAGCTATCATGATCCTGTCTATTTCTCTGTGAGGCAATTACCGCTACGACAATACGCGCTCCTTAAAGCAGTATATTCACACAGATGTTTTTAAAGGTAAACCTGATAGAACAGACGCAGTTGACCAATAACCACGTTTATACAAAGTTTACACTTACTAAAGTACAAAAATGAATCATGCATGTCAAACCAAAAAAACAAATTAGTTGTCCTAGTTGAAAGAAATTTTTATAACCTCTTCAACAAGACTATTTTTAAAAATGCATGTGCAAAATTTTACAGAAAAGTGTATTTATAAATTTCTATGCATTAAAAAATAGCCTTACAGTGGAATATACTGCACACCAGGATTTGTAGTGGCTTTTTTGCCCAAAATGTATTAAAAATAATGCCTGTTAGCAGGCTATACTACGTAAATACAAATTTACACTCACAGTTTTCGGCGAATCCCTTGTCAATTTTAACGACAGAGGACGAAACCCTTTCGACGAAAACCAATTTATCGAAGAATGACGTATCTTTGCCAATTGCAACATTGATCAGATGCCCAGCATGTAAAATCACATAGATGCCCAAGATGTTTTTTTTTAAAAAAAAATAAAAACGTTGATTCGTTATCGAGCTAAGGGACACAATTGTGCTTGTGAAGTATTTCGTGTTTGCTTTCGAAGTTTGTCATGACAAAAACGTTCGCGAACTTTAAAATTTGTCAGTGAATATATTGTCAATTCTTAATTATTGTTCAGAGGGTTTATAAAAGAAATAGCACAATCACAGTTAATATGCAGTGTACAATGTATACTTTTCGCAAAAATTCTGACAAAAATGTTAAGGAAGAAAAAAGGTACTTACTATGAACAGTTTATTCAGTGTTAAAGCATATCAAAGGAAGTAAAATTTCAACCAAAATTACAGAATCTTCAGCTGCATAGCACAAATTGTTCGTTATTGTATGTGGCCCAGCCTCACAGGAACTATTAAGAAAAGCTAAATCCATCTTCATTGTGAAGAATGATCAAGTTATCGTGTCCACCATCGTTTTGAATATAAACCACCATGGTTTGTTCAATGTATCTCGAAGGCGTTTGGTGATCATTTGTTGTTGTAAAGAAATAAGTTCAAATCTAAAATCAAGCTTAGAACAACAAGTATTAGTTACCAAAACGGAAACTTTAAGGAAAGACAAATTTGGACTTTATATTTTGCATGAATAAAGATCAAAATACCGTTAACATTTAACACTACGATCAAAGATAAAGTTCTCTGTTAAATGAAACTTCAAAAGACATACCCGAACTTGATTTCAACGAGATATTCAAATTTTGCCGAATAACCATAGTGTACAGCAGAGAAACTGATTTAAATCACAACTTCTCAAACTGTACATGTGTTAATTTTGATCTATGGCAAAAGTTGAGTTGAAGTGTTTTGTTTTGATTGGTCAGTTTCTAGGTGCGTCATCAATTGTAATTAGTACCCAGTTGAATAAGGTCACTAAACTACATCTCTAACTATATTCTATTTTTCAGCCAGCGCTTTCATATTTAATAATTTCCCTCAAGTGCTAGGTTCCCACTCAGTGTCCCTTATACTAAGTAAATAGGTTCCTACAGATTTATAGGCTTTTTCGACCGTCCAATGGATTATAATGAATATTTAATAAAATACAATGTTCTGTCACTTTTTAAAGTGTATATGAGATTAGTAGGTTTGCAATCTATCTAGTCTGAAGTTGTAAAGCTCCTTAAAATGAGAGGAGTGTTTGTTGGGTCATTTTTATGAAAGTAAATCCATATCTTAGAGGAACCATGACAATTTTACATACCTTTTTTTGAATGCTGAAATGACCAGAAGACTGCTTTGTCATATGAGGATGCAGTTTTTTCTTTATTCATTTTGGTAACTCATAAAATACATTTTTTGTTTATATGTATTGTAGATGGGTGAATTGCTTGAAAATTGTTAATCGATTCATTATTTCTTCCTGTTTATAGTTGGAATTACTCCCTTAATTTTTGTGACACTGTTCTTTTTTTACAACTGGGAAATATCCGACTTAATGTAAAAGCATTTCAATTCTATTTTCTATTTCGATGCAGGTATTGACTTAACGTGTTGATGGTGAATGTGGTGATATCATTCTTAATTTAAATTTGACTTTTTTTAGATCACTTTGCAGTAAAATTATTTATGTAACTGCAAGCTAGAATCTGTTGCGCAAAAAAACGTATTTCAACGTCATATAAGTGAAAGGCTCGTTTCACTGTCCATGTCTGGCTAGTCCAATAATTAATTATAAAAATACAAAGTATGAAATTCCTTCTTGTAGCGTTTAAGCTTTCTCCAGTATCAATTAATGCTGAATCATGTAAATTTTAAAAGTCGGCTGATTACAAAAGTTGCATTTTATTGTTGCATCATGTATTTCGAAGGGGCACATGGAGACCTTACTTGTACCTCTAAAGATACAATTTGGGTTAGGGATCTTTGAGGATGGTTATGTACAGCAATCAACAGTAGATCATTTTCCATTGATCATGTTTTTTATGTTTTCCGATGCCCACTCCACTATTTGCTAACAGATGAATTCGATAAAAAATACACTTCTCTCCTCAACTTAATATTTCTTCATCACGTCAACGAAAGCCAAAGACATTTATTTTACAACTCTATTCTCTTATATCCATTAGGATACATTATAACCCATTCACTTGCGGTTTTTGTTGAATCTCAGTCTTATATTTCCCAATCCATTATAATCACTTCGCTCCCAGTTCCATTTCAACCTTCCCAGTCTCCTTAGACCCACACTATGATCCCACTTTAATCCTCTCGTCCAGTCTCAGCAACCGTAAAAGACAACTTCACAAAAACACAATCGCTCCTTTCAACGTTAATCTCAAATTCCCATGACAAACTTTTGTAATCAACAAATTTGACTTGCATCAATATTTTTATCCCTTCTGACCAAATCTGGAAGTTCACAAATGTCATCAAACCTCAGCCATTGTGTACTTTGGAAGATAATCGTTTTAGTTGTCAGAGTATTAAACAGCAAAACAACCTTCATCGAAATTTCCTCGAAATCGTCTTCTTCTTTTTTCGTATTTGTCCCAGTCTCTCGCGTGTTTCGCCAAAGAATGTGACGTCACGATTTTCAAGCTGTCTTTGAATAAACTGTAGTCCCGCCAAATTGAATCCAACAGTATCCTAAAGATAAAGCAATCATACAAGTGTGATATAGTTTTATCGTCGTCGATGTAAAAATTCAAGAAACTTTGTTCAATTCATTTGATTTGTAGAGCCATTTGTTTAGTTCATACGATTTGAAAAGTCATTTGTTCAGTTGAAATGATTTGTAAAGTCATTTGTTCAGTTCGGATGATTTGAAAAGTCATTTGTTCAGTTCAGATCATTTGAAAAGTCATTTGTTCAGTTTAAATGATTTGAAAAGTCATTTGTTCAGTTCAAATAATTTGTAAAGTCATTTGTTCAGTTCAGATGATTTGTAAAGTCATCTGTTCAGTTCAGATGATTTGTAAAGTCATTTGTTCAGTTCAGATGATTTGAAAAGTCATTTGCTCAGTTCAAATGATTTGAAAAGTGATTTGTTCAGTTCAAATGATTTGTAAAGTCATTTGTTCAGTTCAGATGATTTGTAAAGTCATTTGTTCAGTTCAGATGATTTATAAAGTCATTTGTTCAGTTCAAATGATTTGTAAAGTCATTTGGTCAGTTCAAATGATTTGAAAAGTCATTTGTTCTGCTCAAATGAATTGAAAAGTCATTTGTTCAGTTCAAATGATTTGAAAAGTCATTTGTTCAGTTCAGATGATTTGAAAAGTCATTTGTTTATTTCAAATGATTTGAAAACTTAATTGTTCAGTTCATATAATTCGAAAAGTCATCTGTGGCAGTTTGAAGTACAAAATTCAAAAACTCAAGACGATTAATTTAGCAAAATTTAAAGAACTAGAGAAAAATGAAATCTTCATACTCTTAAATATTTCTGTTTCTAAATACATACTTTTTTCTGTTGTTAATACACAAAAGAATATTCCATGAACCTTTTTAATACAAAACCAAACTCAGTATTAAGATTGGCACTGTTTTGTGAAAGAAAGCCATAATTGCTCTTAACCAATCAGAATTGACGACTTTTTCATGTTTAGTTTAGAGTCATTAAAGTGTCGACAAAATTCACCAAGAATAAATTAACGGTCGTCTAGCGCATGGTAAAGTTACGGGAGAAATTTGGCGATACTTGCGGTTTATTGAACGTACAACTTCCTACCTTCATTTCGCGAACTCGGCTACGACAATGTGATCTGATAGAGTCTATTACTGGCAGTAGTTCAGGAGTGGATATGATCTTGTTGTGATGTATTCTATCGTAACAAAATATGAAAAAAATGAAAAATATCCAGCACTGTACATAGGTATCTCACCAATTGCATCATATATTCAGCAATACTGAAGGAACGTGATGAAATTGTTATGGAATGATTTAAAGACAGACGTATTGAAAAAAATATCGATCGAAATCAAAAATACATTACGTCTTAATCTTACCGCAGCAGAAAGAAGAGACATCGACAACTTAACTCTGTTTCCCAACCATTCTAAACAATCACGTACATCTGGGATGAGCAAAATTTGAAAACGAAGCCTGTACAATGTGAAGTAAGGACACAGGAGTCAAAATACATTTCACTTTACCTTAATCCACTCAAGAAGAAGTTTCAGTACATCAACAACATAGTCAAACGGTAACACAAGCAATGATTCTTCAAGTTCGCTGAAATTAAATAATTGAAATGTTTTGTAGAAAACACTTGCTTCATAAGATACCTCTCTACTGTATAGCACTTGATATTTAATTCCTTTAGTAACTCCAACGAGACATTTTGCCATACTTTACCTTTAAAATGCTCTAAATTAACTTTTAGTACAAACAACGAGTCTTCACGTGAAAATTTGCTGCTCTTTATAATACTTCAACCTTACCTTGACTTTACTTTTTTCACCACTAGAAGTACATACTGTACAGGCTGTGAGAAGAAAAAAATACTTTACAAACGTCGTAAGTATATGGTCCGGGAAAGGAGGTTGACATAGACAGGCATTCAATCGTAGAACAACAATATTTATGGCCTCCATCTTCGTGGTCAAGATATTGTATTTCATTATTACAAATTCTATGTATTTTACATTTAACTCTTGTTTTTTCTAGAGTTGTTATAAATGTCAAGCCATCTCATCCATTTTTTCCTTATCTACGTACGTACGTATGTAAATCTTTCAATCTTACCATTACATTAATATTTACATTAATCATGTTCAACATGCACGCGGCTTTCACCTTGTATCACGTGGCCATCATATTGTTCTTAAATGGAAACATTAAAGATATAGTAAACTTACACTGACATTACCAAAGGCAGCAAGAATCGGATGAATGACGCGCTTTGGAAGCTGTTCAAAGGAAAGAAAATGTATGTGAGAACAAAAAGAAACTGTGTAATAAACGAAACTGGGATTTTCTGTATAAATCAAACAATAGTTATTGGTGGTTTCATGGGTAGGGTTAAACAACAATGCAGGGCGTGGTCCGAATTAGAGAGTAAGAAAATATTGGCGGTGGTTTCACAGGAAGGGTTTAATAACAGTGTAGGGCGTTGTCCCAATTTAGGTGTTTAGTCTAGGAAAGTTTTGTGATGTTGCCGGTCATGGTTATTTAAGTTTTTCATTTAAGATTTAAGATTATCTATACGTACAAAATAAACATTTTGCACATGTGCAGAGCAAAAAACAACAAACCTACCATTTTGTCTTTCGTCACTTGACTCGCTTTATGTTCAAGTTCTTTCTGTCTTTCTTCCTTATACAATTCAATGGCCTCCATGATTCTTTCAGCCTAAAGAAGAGATAAGAGAACAAACATCAACATACTAATCTCCAGGCATATATTATATATTATACTGTAATATCCTCCAAGTATCCCAATCATACTGTATTATCCTCCAAGTATCTATATTCTACTATAATATCCTCCAAGTACCCCGTCTCAATGTAAGCTTAAACACTTGGCCTCAGATATGCACAGTCTTCACATGTCTTTGATGTACTACAGTTTTCGATATATCTGTATGATTTTGAGATATCTTTCAGGTACTACAGGGGGGACTGGGCACAAAACCAATAAAATTAACTTGCAATGCTAGTACAACAACAAAACTAACTCCTTTGATTGTCTCGATAGTTTTCTTGCCAGCTTTAACAGCTTCTGTGTCTTGTTCACCTGGAATCTAACCAACATCATGGTTTAAATAAATGAATTTATTTAGTGCAATAAATGCAACTTCCACAAGATATTTTCCATAGTGAAAGTATATAACAAATACAGAGTAGTTGGGCTCAACATGGGACATACGTATCTCATGTTACAAAGTAAAAAGAATCTTACAACTGTTTCAACTCCTGTTACGGCGCTTTCTTCGTAAGCTGCTTCCCTCTCCTAAATAGAAAAATTAAAATAAACATTGAAAGTACAGGTACTATATGCATATTTTTGTAGCTCCAGCAACAGATCTATGTATAGTACCATTTCTCTCTCCTCCTCGACAAACAATGGTTCGTCCGTTCGTTCCCAGAGCCTTAACGATTTATCATGTGACCCACTGATCTATAAGATAAAATGCAATGCTTGTGGAACTGGAGTGTTAAGAATAAGTGTTGATCTTTTTGTAAATTGTACTCTTATTGATAATAACGTTTTTTGTTCATTCTTTCTTTCATATCAAGCAAACTTATGTTTAACATTATCTAAAACCTTCCATACTTGACACTTGCAACAAACTCGACATTATCTAAAACCTTCCATACTTGACACTTACAACAAACTCGACATTATCTAAAACCTTCCATACTTGACACTTACAACAAACTCGACATTATCTAAAACCTTCCATACTTGACACTTACAACAAACTCGACATTATCTAAAACCTTCCATACTTGACACTTACAACAAACTCGACATTATCTAAAACCTTCCATACCTGACACTTACAACAAACTCGACATTATCTAAAACCTCCCATACTTGACGCTTACAACAAACTTGACATTATCTAAAACTTTCCATACTTGACACTTACAACAAACTCGCCTTTATCTAAAACCTTCCATACTTGACACTTACAACAAACTCGACATTATCTAAAACCTTCCATACTTGACACTTACAACAAACTCGACATTATCTAAAACCTTCCATACTTGACACTTACAAGAAACTCGCCGTCATGGCTGATTGCAAGACTCCATATTTCTGAATGATGACCTTCTAAGGTCGTAACATGAAGAAATCTGTCAGCGTCCCAATATTTTATCGTTTTATCTTTACTTGCACTGAAGAAATAATGAGTTTTTGGCACGAACTGCACGGCCATGACACTAAAAGAAGATTAAAGATGTTATAATATAAATTGCGAATATACATGTAGGTATTACCAGGTGTAATGTTGATAACATGAGAATATAAGGTATACAATGAAAGTACATCTAGGTATTAGGAAGTGTAATATCGATAACATGAGAATATAAGGTACACAACGAAAGTACATGTATGTATTACTAGGTGTAATGTTGATAACATGGGAATATAAAGTATACAATGAAAGTACATGTAGGTATAAGGGTGTAATGTTGATAACATGCGGGTAAAAAATATGCAGGAAATCTACGTATAAAACAATTGAGGACGTGGTTTACTAGTATGTTATAGACGTACGAGGTATGGTGATGACGGAACAATGATGTAACCAGGGTAAGAGGGTTTAATAGGGTATAATGACGATGTACATAGGATACGAGTGTATAGTAAGGATATAATCGACTGTTTCAGGCTATCATATATTATTATCATAAAATTGCGTATCTGTCATTTAAAAATACATTCTGCGTACCTGTCATCATGGGCGAATATTGATTTTCGACAATCACCAAAATCCAAACCCCAAATCTTAATGTTCTTGTCAACGCCACCAGAAACGAGGAGAACGTTATCCTGTAAAAAATGAATCGAGGATGACAAAAATACGAATCCAAAGACAGAGAAAAGTTTCAAAAATAAATAACGACGCCATTGAAAAGCGTTCACCAATACAAAGTGGTCAAGAGATGGAACGCTACACGCTCTACACTTTCACAACAGAGGATTGGTAAAAATTTACACGGTCATACGTAGTTGACATTATGTACGTCTTTTTCAAAGTTTCAAATTAATTTTCATTACAATTTCATAATCATCGCTCATTTAATAATTCCTTACTTTACGTCACAAACCTAAACTTCCTTGTTTGGGTTTAAAGCAACATTGAAGAAAAGCTTACCGAGCAAAATTTATATTCTTTTGAACTGTAGCATAAATTATTAATGCATTATTTAAAATTGATTCACTTTGTAATTTTATTTCGAAAATATCTAATTCGAAAAGCTTTTGCGAAATGACTTATTTACAGCTTGGTAAAATATCTTTTGGTATATCTAGTTATCTTGCATTTTATGTGGTAAAGTTCTTTCGACTAAAAATAAAAAATATATTATAAAAAATGATATCAAAACAGAGTTGGAAGCCGTTCCTGAGAGCTTGAAAAAAACAATATAATTTAAGCGACAGCTAAAACGGATGTGACGTCTACAAAGAGTTTGCGTCCATGACGTAACCTAAGGATTCTTTATGTAAACACAATACACGTTTGCATACGACAGTCAAACGTTGATACTTTGAAACACACGTCATATGAATAAAACGTACCGTTGATATATCCATGGTAACAACAGGTAATTTATGACCATAGAGGGATAGGAAGAACTAAATAACGACGCGGGAAAAGTAACCACATTTAAAGAATGAATACAAAAGTAATTAGGATAAATGGGCAGGAAAATGTTTATTCAGTTAAATTTTTGAGACTTCTGTAAATCAAATTATAAAGTTGATGGAAAGCATACATTAATCCAATGTTACGCAACTAGCTTAAAGTAAAAAAAATATCGCCTTCTTTTTACAAGAGTGGATTTTTTTAGTGAATTTTTTTGTAGGAAAAGCAAACGGTTCTAATTCAAAGTGCATTTTTATCGTGATTCATAGAAAACAAATGAGAGAATTTCGTACAAGGAGTCATCTTTAAAGTAACAAATGAAAATATTCTAACTACTGCTATCCAACATCAACTGCTATCCAACATCAACTGCTATCCAACATCAACTGCTATCCAATATCATCAACTGCTACCCAGGATCTTCAACAGTTATCAAATACTATCAAATGCTATCCAATATCATCAAATGCTATCCAATACCATAAACTGCTATCCAATATGATCAACTGCTATCCAGGATCATCAACTGCTATCAAATACTATTAACTGCTATCCAATACCATCAACTGCTATCCAATATTATCAACTGCTATCCAATATCATCAACTGCTATCCATTATCATCAACTGCTATCCAATATCATCAACTACGTACAAAAATATTTAATAACTTACCTTCAATGTATCAGTGAAGAAAATTTTCATTGTAAAATCAAGCAAAGCCACGGCAATAAACTTTTGATTTGGACTGCAACAAATTTTGGCACGCGATTAAATGAAATATCATAAATACGTATACCCTCCCCCCCCAAGGTGAATATATCAACAACTAACCTGAACTTTACACACATTACGTCATCATTCATCTTTAATGTTCGCGCATGACAAATACTTAATCTTTGACTAAACAAAAAAATACAAAATGAATCACCCAATTGTACAACGAAATACATAAACCAATTAGACAATACTGAATCATAAAATTAGAAAATGTTAAGCTGAGGATTGAACAAACAAAAAGCGGATGGTCACATTTAACCACATTTCTTTACAAACATCATGAAATGCACAAGAAAAACAAGAGAAAAAACTTTAGAACACAAGCTTCAACAGAATTAGTACATGAAGTTGTTTTTTCTCCGACAGACAATGGACATTTTTCGTCTTACAATGTTAAAAAAGTGAGAAAAATCACGTTGAGTGCAAACGTTGCTTTACATGCAAATTATTTAATACCTGGTCGTTGAATAGTTCTCATCCGTAATCAAATCAAATTCCCAAAATTTTACATCCTTGTCACCACTTCCTGAGGCAAATAGCGTCTAGAAATTGATAAAACCATCATTTCTAGATGTGCGTAGTCTTGAGCTCCCTCTGAACGATTCACTGAAAGAAGGGAATATATGAGGACGGGGGGGGAGGGGAGAAGTGAGGCATACGTCACTTGTCTCTTCGAGGAGTTACAAAATGACAAGTAGCAGAATAACTTAAGTTTGCCGACAAAAAGATCGCTGCTATTTCTGCTAGAGAAATAATCGAAAGAAAGCATATTAAGAAGGGCGTGGCAGTACACAAATTTTGTCAAAATGTTACTTTCCAACAACCGGACCAAAAATATGTTTTTAAAATAAAGTAAAGTCCCTTACGTTCTCGGGAGCTAAACACAACGACCAAATAGCACCATCGTGTGCGTCCACAGTTTCAAGCAATGAACCAGACGAAACGTCGAATATTTGGAATTTGCCAGCCTGTAAAGGAAAGTTAGAGGGTCAACATCTTACATTGTCTCACTATTTATAAAGTCATATTCACTAATGCTGAATACCTTAACACAAACAACGTGTCTGTCACATGACCTTACATTGTCTCACTATTAATAAAGTCATATTCACTAATGCTGAATACCTTAACACAAACAGCAACGTGTCTGTCACATGACCTTACATTGTCTCACTACTTTATAAAGTCACATTCACTAATCCTGAATACCTTAGTACCAACAACAACGTGTCTGTCACATGACCTTACATTGTCTCACTACTTTATAAAGTCACATTCACTAATGCTGAATACCTTAGTACCAACAATGACGTGTCTGTCACCAGGTACAAAAAGCGAACTTAGACAATAACCAGAAGACATTGTTCTGATGCATTTCTGAGTCGATCTATAAATTTGTTAGAAATATCGTCACAGGCTGACATAGACAAAGTCACTCTTTCGACCCACAAACAATGATAGTGAAGAGTACGCAAGTGTGTTACGGTAATTTTACATCCTTCAGGATGCTATTTTAATCCTTGCATAATGGTTTTTTTAGTAAACTTTGACTTTTTTCACCTCCCCACCCAATTTGAAATTACTCGCACCTTATTCCCCTAAAAGAAGGAATGATTATCCTGTTGGTACAACTTGATAAAAATTAAAAATATGCATTATTGTATGTTTTAGTTAAAGAAATTGCAAGCAAATACACATACACAACTTTAAAAATCTGTTTATTGTACCTGTTCCACAATTTAACACTTTCAGCTGCGCCAGAGAGGATGCAGGAATCGTCGGAATTGAATGACAAAGTCCTAAAGTAAGAAAGCTAGAGATCAATCAGATGAAGTGAGCTCTTGCAGTATGACGCTTCAAAAGGCACGTAAGATTTAAGACTTTAACTTATTGTCATCACATTCCAGGTTAATTGAGATCTACGTAGCCACATACCTTACATCACTACGATGACCAGGTGTCTTTATGGAAAGTATATTAATTGAATCTTTCTTTTCTTCACTGAAGACATGAAACTCTACGCTGTTGTTGTGTAGTAATAACGAAATCTGTAGAAATTTAAAAAACTTCTTATTTCAAGTGGATGCAACTAATTCCATACTATCCAGTATACTACGCATTCTTTACATGTACAATCAAATAAGATGATAAAAAATGACGAAAGACTATTTCTCATCGTTCAAAATGACTACTTGACAACAGTTGGAATTATACCGAAACATCAATTTAACACATCCATAGTTCTCAAATATAAAAAATAAAATCGCGGACAAAAATAATGAGATACCTTTTGATCATTATTTGAATTCAATGCAAAGTCAAATGACCTAATAAGAAAAAACAATGTTTGTATTTTATAATGGCGGGAAAGCAAAACAAGTGAATGAACGACGTACGTACATATGTACGAGGAGGACTAGAAATGACTATTCAATCATAAAAATGGTTTAAAATAACTTTTTTATTCCGCCATCTTGAACAAGCAATTTTTGAAACTGACATTGTAAAACGGCTTAAAAATATTGCATTTATGAAAGTGTTAAAACAACATTGATTAATTTCAAATAACGATAAACTTTGTCTGTGTTATATTTAAGAAAAAACTTCCGTTGAGAAAAGCACGTCTAGAAAAATTCTCTCTCACACAAAACGCTTGACTTCCAGAAGCGAATTACAATGTTTGTACTCCATACATCATTTTACCTTATCTTTGAGGTCGCTTTAACATCGGGTAATTTTATAATCTCGTCTTCGACGGTGGCTAAGACGTTTTCAGAAACCTGATAAAATAAAAGTAATGTTAAAACATGTTTCAAAAAAAGGACAAATAGTGCGTAAATACACAATTAAAATGTTGGAACAACGCATATCTGATTCTTTCCTTCGCACTTCTGTTTCTACATTTTCAAAATCTATTTCATTTCAAGCAACAAAATCAAATATGCTCCAGGATTTTGACATAATATATATAAGAAGTATTCACAAATAAAGAGAATTATCACAATGTTACAGAAACGAGGCAAGATTGTGATGTCTTAGCGTAAACTACGTATATTTTGATTCGTCAAAATTCTTTGCACATAAATTTCACGTAACAAAAATTATCTAACCGTCAGCTCGTCGGCTTCCAATCCTTGTGATCTAGGAATAAATAATGGTAAAAAATATCACATGTATGAGAATAAAAAAGCTTGAATACAGTTTTAAAATTTCAACAACCTTTGCTTCTTTAAAATCTTTTTTCGTCTTTTTGCCAAGCGTTTTTTTAATTCGTCTTCTGATGCAAGACGAAACATTTCTAACGTAGAATTAGCACCCTAAATAAATAAAAATTATCTTCACATAACCACATCTTTTCTTTAGTCCTCTCGTGAAATAATAAATATTGATTATATTTTGTAAAAATCATTCATAACCGTGAATGTTTTTGACATACGTAAAATACTTCATTCTCAACTTGGTTATCATGAAATGAATAATGACAATCTATAGTCGACATTACAATGGAGTTTTTCCATTGAAAACTGAGAAATATATGCTACTGCAAGAATTTCTGCTGGGTTTGTAAAAATTGCACAAAAATTACTCAGACAGTTGCTTTTATAATGAATATTTCCTCACGATGTCAACACGACTCTCGGTGACCGAAGCAAAATTGATATTTAAATTAAATATTTTCTTTTCCATAACTGACTACCAAACCCACTTCTTAGAAAGCTGTGCGTTGCTATTGTCTAGGGTTTTAAATAGTACAATGAAATACAATAAGCTATAGAATTATAAAGAACGAAAACTTAATGTTTATCATTAATGTTTGATTAATCCAATCAGAAAAGCCATTTATAGTTGATACTAGGTTGTAACATAAAGCTGAGCAGTAGCCACATAATGTTCATCATCTCCATAACAATTTTTTTACAATCCAAATCCCACATAAAAAACTTCTTACATAACGTACGTACATGACAACCAATATAAGTTCGTGAAAGATCGCAATACAGCGACACTACGCGATCAGTTGAGCTTCTCATGACAGAGCCAATCATTGTACACGAAAGCAATTCCTATTGAAATTCGAAATATAGAAGTTAAAATCCGAGTTGAAACTAGAACTAAATGCTTATTTATGAATTTAACACTAGACTAAATGCTTGATGCAGTGGTGACAGGTCTAATGCAGATGGCCAAATTATAAACACAAAGTTTATTAGAGATTTTATTAGTTTAACTTAACATAGTAATATTCACAAAAATCGACAACAATCCTATGCACAAATACCAACCAACATTCCTAATACTGTATACCTCACAAATATTCACCAATAGTCCTAATTTACCTCACAAATATCCATCAACATTCCTAATACTACCTCATACACTAATTGTGACTTAAGATCTCAAAAACGCTTATTTTCCCTTTGGTTTCCTAAATTTAAGTAGCATCCATTATTATCTCTCATGCATCATGCAAGAGCAGAGAAATGACCAACAAACACCTCTTATGTACCTCTATTTCCCTACATCATCCTCGCTAGATTGCGTTGCTGTCTTTCGTTTTCTCGTTTCTTCGCGTCTTTCTGTTCTATCATCTTTGTACTCAATTTTCCAAACTCTCAATTCACTGTCTGAAGAACCAGTAATTAATCTTGTTTCATTCTTGAGGACGACAAAGCCCCAAATCTTAAAAAAATATAGATTCTTTAAAGTGACTTTATTACTGTTCCTAAATCACTGTTTCTAGTCAAGTATTCATCCTTATTCTTTTATGGAGAGTGAAGGGTAGACAAGTCCTACATCCTATCATAAAAACAAATTCATAGGTTTCATTCACCTCTGTTTTATGACCAACCAAGGTAAGAAAACAATGCTGTGAATCAAGATCCCAAAATTTCACAAAAGTGTCTTTGGAACTAGGAAAGACAAAACCATTAAATATAAACTAGCAAAGCCACTTCAGATGAAAATAGATCTTCTACATTTACCTAGTTATAAGAACATTTTGAAAATGAAGAAACCGACAACAAGTCACCATTCCTTTATGACCTTTAAGTCTGAAGAAATAACAAATTTAAGAACATTGTGGTCATACATACATACACATCATTTATCTCTTTCTTAACAAACATTACTATATAATAAAGAACTCGCTAACTTTGACATTTCTGTCATATGATACATAGCTTCTAAGCTTTACAACATACATACAGTATGTATGCAGGAGGCAAGACCTTAGTTCAAACATTTCACTGTAAGTCAGTACGTCATACCCATACACTCAGTTCATAAGTATTTAGAAAGCCATACCTGACTTTTATTTAGTAAGTCATACTCCCAATTTTATTTAGTAAGTCATACTCCCCACTCTCAGTTTGTAAGTCATACCCCACCCCAGTTTGTAAGTCATACTCCCACTTTTATTTAGTAAGTCATACTCCCCACTCTCAGTTTGTAAGTCATACTCCCCACCCCCAGTTTGTAAGTCATACTCCCACTTATATTAAGTAAGTCATACTCCCCAGCTTCAGTTTGTAAGTCATACTCCCACTTTTATGTGGTAAGTCATACTCCCACCTCTCAGTTTGTAAGTCATACTTCCACTTTTATTTTTATTTAGTAAGTCATACCCCACCTCTCAGTTTGTAAGTCATTCCCACTTTTATTTAGTAAGTCATACTTCCACTTTTATTTAGTAAGTCATACTCCCCACCTCTCAGTTTGTAAGTTATACTCCACTTTTATTTAGTAAGTCATACTCTCACCTCTCAGTTTGTAAGTCATACTCCCACTTTTATTTAGTAAGTCATACTTCCACTTTTATTTAGTAAGTCATACCCCACCTCTCAGTTTGTAAGTTATACTCCCACTTTTATTTAGTAAGTCATACTCTCACCTCTCAGTTTGTAAGTTATACTCCCACTTTTATTTAGTAAGTCATACTCCCACTTTTATTTAGTAAGTCATACTCCCCACTCTCAGTTTGTAAGTCATACTCCCCACTCTCAGTTAGTAACTTATACCTCCAACACTTTTAGAAAGTCAATAACATAAAAAACATGTAAAGAGAAATACCTTACTTTGAAATATCAACATAATCATAACTGCGTAAAAGCAGTATTGATAATGCACATTTAATGAATACCACAAGTTTTTTTAAAGGAAAAATGTTTCAACATCTCATGATGACACCTTCATATAAATACACTCATCATTTATTCTAATCAATATTTCATTGTAATATTTATATATAATCTACTCATAATTGTATAAATTGTATCACTGTATCATATTAATCTTATTTATATTCATCACATACATAATACTCTTTATTACACTGAAGATGGCATCATAAGACGTTGAAACATGTTTATTTCAAAAGACTTCTCGTATAACATTAAATGATCATAATTGTACCTGAACATTCCTGAGTCATTAATTATATCCCAAACAATCACATCTGTATCCTATAGTGTGGCAGAAAACAACACAAATGAATTGTTCACATTTTATAAACTATACTTCACAATTTATGGCAATTGATTTAAGTGTCATAAAAATCACGATTAAAGAATACCTTTGATCCAGACACCAATTTGACACCAGTATAATCATAGTTAAGAGCTGTAACTGCTGTCTTGTGACCACTAGAAGAAATTCATGTTTGTAGAAGTAGATCGTCCAGGTTGGTATAGTCCTGAGAAGGACTGTTTTTGTTGTTCTATAGGACTTCTCAGGACTATACCAACCTGGACGATCTACATTTGCAAACATGTAACGATACTCCCGGGTTCAAACCATTTACTTTAGAAGAAATTCAATGAAACAAAAGATGAAATAATTTTTTAATGTTTCATTCAAGATATGGCAAGAATAGAAAATGCCTAATGAAGATGATTGCTTTGGCATCTTTGAAAACATTAGTGCTGATACACATCCATTCACCAGAATTTATAATTTTTACACTAAAACACAAGTCTACCCTTCACTCCACAGTAATGCAACAGTGCAACATTGACTACATCACTGCTTGATATTATATTTTTAGGGACGACACTGGTTGTATTGACTATTCTTATAGTTTCAGAAGTTTCCATGCAAATTTACAAGGCCTTTAAGGTTCAATTATCTCTTATTGACTTTGTATACTGAAATTTGAAAACTTTCCATGTTTCTTTTGTTTGAGAGCGTGTAAAAATGTCTTCAAGTCAGTGTGCGAATTAACAGTGTGCAATGTGCAATTTGCGCATTGTTTTAGCTAAAATGAAAACAATTGCACATCACTTTTTCAAACGATGTGCAAAAATCAGCGGCTTTAAAAAAAACACTAAATCATATGAATTTGTTCACGTTTGAAAATATTAATTTAGCAATTAGCGCTATACACATATATAATAAATAACGTAATATCGATTTGATTATGCCTCTAAAGAAATACTTTGGTCAAAAAAATTGGACATCGTTTTTTTAGAACTAATTTGCACACTGCTTCAAGTAGTAGCTTGTTTACTGGCAAATTTTCCCAATTGAATTTTGAACTGCTTTGTGATTGGAACACAGAAGTTGCAATGGCAAACAAAAGGCAAAATAGGGCAAAATGCACCATCAGCAACATCTGTACAAGTTGTAACCCTCTCCAGGATACCTCTTATACCTTGTTGCTTGCATTGTGGGTCTTGAAGTTGGAAAATTTGTGATTGATGTGCCTAGCACATATATTATAATAGCGTGCTGAGTTATATTAACTGTTTGTTTACCAAAGAATTTTTTGAAATGAGTTTTGGACTGTTTTGTAACTGGAAATCAGAAGTACCGATGGTAAACAAATGGTTGAGCATAGAACAAAATATATTCCATGAGAGGAAATGTACCTAAATGTCACTGAGGATGTACCATTATTTATATTCCAAATTCTGATGACACCATCGCCATACCTAAAATTAAAAAAAAACTGCAGGTGGAGGTGCATGTATGCAGGTGGAGGTGCATGTATGCAGGTTAAGCTTTACATTCTTTTCCCTGTAAGCAGTTGCAAATTTATTACATACATTAAGATCAAAAGCTGTTCAGTTTTCAAAAGCAAAGAAAATTATTTTATATTAGCAAATTTTATTACCTGTTGTCAAATGGATATAATTTATCTAGTCTAACAAAGATGTAGAAATTAAAATAGTTTGGGACTCGTGGGGAATGTACACCAATGATTTTCATTTTTGTTAACATTACATACTGTACTGGTTGACTGACATATTTTTCCTGGATATCAAGATCTTTCATGATACAAGGGGAAAGGGTAGGATCTGGCTTTTATATGTTAGGAGGTACAGGATCTGGCTTTTACAAGCAAGGGGTCAGAGCCTCTTCCCTGCCTGACCTTGTGTTTCTTACAACCATACCTTTTACTGTTGAAAGTGTTGATTAGCCACAATGAAGTAAATATCCGGCATCAGTTACAAGACATAATGAAATGCTATATTGTTTAATTAGATAAGTTGTTTTACTCACCCAACAGCAAGATGTTCAGAGTCAGGACTGAGGCAGAGACATGTCACTTCGCTCTTGTTACCTTGTAAGACATTCACCTAGACATTTAGATAAGCATATCATAAAAACAATTTTTAAATAGTGGAAATCTAACATTGATTAAAGGTTTCAACAATTCTCTTCAAATACTTTTTCGCCAAGTCTAGCGTCCCAAATATATACATTTTCTAGTGCGGGAACAATCGCGCGGCAAATTTCACGTCTTTTCTCGCCACTTTGAACAAGACACAAATTAGCTCTAGCACTTCCCACTACGCCAAATATTCCAGCTTCGACGTAACGCAGATACGATTTTGTTAAGACCATTTTAAAGGAAAACGAAGAGTTCTAAATATTGGAAATTCATCTTGAACTACAACGAATTATCTTCCACCCGATTTCCACGTGGGGATTTATGGCGTAAGATTTCCGGCAATATAGACCTGGAGGAGAAAGGGGGGTGTCGTCCAATGGTATCTTCCAATGGTATGTCCCACAGTGGGGGAATTTACTAGACCAGATCACGACCAGCTTCATTAGGTCAATATTGGGCGCTGATTGAAAAAACGCTAAATCTGTAGCTTCAATATCAAATTTTCATCATACACAACCAGATATTTTTCCATTGCTAATATGTGTATGCAACTGGGATATGGTTTATCTGACAAGTACAAAAATGTTGTTTGGCCTGTTTTGATCATTTCATTTCAGTTAAGCCTGTTCTCCAGTCTCCACTAGCCACGTATCGTAGCAAAACGTAAAATGGCGCATGCGTGCTTGTGCATATTGACCATCAAATTCATAAGCACGCATGCGCCATGTTACGTTTTGCTAAGATACGTTACGATACGTGGCTGGTGGAAAGCAGGCTTAATATCTATTCTACATACCTTTCTGAGGATCTAAATCTAATAGTATATTGTTAGGTAAGGCTTCAACAAATTTCTTTCTGCTTGCATCAAATGAGCAGCACAATATCCTACCATAGCCTTCAACAAATAGGTTGGGATATCGATGAACAAATACAAATGAATTATGCTGAAGAAAAAATACATGCAGATTATAGTGCCAAAATTCATGTATGGATTTCAATTTAACATTTTTCAAATTTCGTATGGTGTAACATCTAGTTTTATTTGAAATTCATAAGATGAATTTAAAAATACGTTCAAGTTGACACGTTCAATGATGATATGAAGATGAATTTACTTCGTTCAATATTGTTCTTTACGTCATAACAAAAGAATGTTGAACAAACAAGATCATGAAATTTGGCGAAAATCTGTGACGTCATGAAGGTTTACTATAGCGCAGGCGAAACTCTTCAAGGTAGTTTTAAACCTGCCAAAATTTGATGCCCAAACTGGAGTTTCTGATCATGAGCTTAAAAGGTTAATAAGGGATTGTTTGTGTTGCAACTTATGCGTGTGGCAAGCGGCGCATATTTCAAAGAATTTGGGGCATGGAAGCCGTCTGTCGACATTTTGGAATCAATATTTGATGGAAAAAGCCCGCCACTTAACCTTCTATCTTCCGTCTTCTACCTTTTAATTACCGACTTAAGACATTTCAACCCTCCCTTTATCTATCCCTTGGTAAAACTATAAGAGAGACTTCGTCGTGAACAAGAGTCTCTAACGTCAAAAAGTCTAGTGTTTTTTCACTAATTCAATACCAACATAGATATTTCAATAGAAGAAAAAACAGGCTGATTTCGAAACTGCGTGTGAATTGTCAAAATTCTTATATTTAAAATCTTCATTATCTAATCTCAATAAACAAATCTTAATTTTCTTTCCGTTTGTTCACGTTTAAGGTGATATACAAATACAAACTTCTTTCTCTCTACTAAACACCTGAGTCGAATAAACGCCTTTCCTTGAACCGTTACAATTTTTAACAGGCCACAGGATCTTATACGGTAATCACTGATCTGTCCCTTGCTTTAAAAAATGAACACAACGATGTTTGGTCTAAAGAAATACTCTTGTTATTACAATATACACGTATATAAACTATATACAATTCTCATTGTTCGTGTATGATATATTATCGATATAATGCATGTCAACCAAGTTTCAAAAAAAACAACGTCAGTTTGCTTTACACATCCTCCGTACTTCGATGTAGCATTTTGTCTTACATAAATGGGGCAAACAAGTAAATAATTGTTTCTAAACTTTTCCTGACGCAAGAAGTCCATCGAAACGATTGGCTGACTTGTATTTTTATGTCCCTAACGTTTATACTTAAGAAAAAGTTCAAAAAATCGATTTGTGCTAACTACTGGTTACAATAAAAGCCTAAATATTTCCCTACGATGGAACTTCATATAAAAAGGCTTGCAAGATACAATGTTTATTTCGTACGAGCCTCATGTATGAAGACCTTTTCAACTATACGTGTTATGTATAACATTAATAGAAATAATCAAAGTTGGATTTCTTATAGCTAAATCTATTCCTTTAAACCTGTCTGTCAAATGAAGTAAAAATATCAATTCTCTGCATTTTTCGAGATGTTTTAAAAAGTTAATAATTACTAGAAGATGACGTTGTTTTTCAGTGAAAGCAACGACGATATTTTGGTGAACATTTTCGAGTTGTTCATAGACTTCATTGAAAAAGTTTATGGAAATTTGTGAACCTTCAGTTGTTTCTAAAGAGATAGCTCTAAAACTGTTACTAATTGAACGTTTGATCAAATATAGAACCAATAAGAATAATATGAATGATTTGTTACCAGAAAGCGGACAGTGCTTTGGATTTCTGGTGTAATGTCACGGGAAGACCAAATCAGTCTTCACTAAAACATCACCGTTCCACTAAATAATTTTCAATGTTGCGCAATATCAGACACCAAGCCACTGTTGTGATAATTCTAAAGAGAAATATCAACAAATACGACTCTTGATAAAACTTAACTATAATGTCATTTTCATAAGGAGTCCCTGTTGATCCAGTTTTGTGCCATTTGTGATCCATCGGGTCGCTTGATTGCCAGATTTTCATTTAGCATTTTCACTTTGTCTTTGAAAGAGGTTTCTGGATTTGGGGATTTCCCCATGTCGTTGGACAAACTTCTAGGTTTAGGTACTGGATGAATGTTGTTATTCTGCAGGCGAGCGGGACCTGGGTAAGTCGCATACCCATTATCACTCATTCTATCCCGTGCGCGGGCTACATGACCATTGTCTCTGTAGACTGTCGAGTTAGGAGCGCCTTTATATTCCGCTGGAGGGCCACTGCCATTGTTGACCAAAAATTGAGGCTTGGGTGGAGGTGGGGGTCTCTGGTAATAGTCAACCTGATTTTGAGGTAGGGGCGAGAAATTGTTGTCTTTATCCGCGGGAGGTGGAGGCAAAGGAAATTCTTCACTACCGTCATCATCACTATCTTCAACCTTCCCATCGTGAACAAATTTCACTCCAGATGTTGCGAGCTCAGCGTCAGGCGATGGTTGGACGATCTCGGTGCGAACACTGGCGAACTTCACACGACGGGTTCGTCCGTTGGTGTACGACGAATCAAGACCATCATCGTCAGGACCTTCAATAATACGATTTCGCAGCTGATTGGCTCTTGCTTCTCGGAGACGGTCGTCTTCTTCTCGTTGTCTCCGAAGTTCTTCTTCTTTCTCCCTGTCTACTGGATTCACATGTACAGGCTCGGCAACAGTGCTCACACTTTGTCTAAAAGATTCGTTTTGCTGAAAATCACGAACAAGTTGCTCATCTGCTTCACGACGCCATTGTTGTTCCCTGCGGTTTTTCTCCTCTTCTGATCGTTGCCAGTCCACGCGGGCGCGCGGTTTATCGTCAACCGGCTTTTCCCAGTTTTCTTGTTGAACAGGTACCCGAATGACTCGTACCATTCCTCCATCGACGCTGTCCGTTCCATTCTTACTGTTTGCTTCTTTTGCCAAACGTTCTTGAAATTGCCTTTCAATTTCCGCAGGATCAATATCCAATGAATCATCCTGGCTATTTTGGGGTGAGAAACGCTTCTGATTGGGTGGAAACGATCGCATTGACGACGACGACGTGCTCTTGTTATCTTCAGCCGTCATTGGTCCTCCTTTGTTGTAGTCCCCAGGTCTACCAACACGAACATCACTGCTTCTACCATCCATAACAGGAGAGGTTGGTATCTTACCATAAGCTGGCTGTGAACCAACTCGTTTGACCTCAGCAGGTGTGGGGGCTCTGGGGAGTCGATTGGATCTTTGTGTACTATTATCATCATTACGTGGCACATAATGTACTTGGGTGTTGGATGGTCTGGGATTTCTTTGTGATGGTTCAACGTCAATGGGTCTATTCATCACTCTTGAAGTAGAATCATCTTGATATCTTATCATTTTCGTTGTACCAACATCCGATGGTCGCTGTGTTTTTTGCGGTTCTTTTCTCTCTTCTCTTTCTTTTTTGAGACGTTCTCTTAACTCTTGCTCTTCTTTCAACGCTCTTTCCTCTTCCTCCTGGATCTGTCTTTGAAGTTCTTGAAGGCGTCTTGCTTTTTCGCGTCGTTTTTCTTCCAACAGCAATTCAAGCTCTCGTTCGCGACGAGTCATTTCGTCCAACTCGGACATTTTCGATTGTTCATTTTCTTTCATTTCGTTCAATCCTTGCAATCTTGTTCTTGATTCGATCTCGATTTCTTTTTTTCCACAAGACGTTCCGTTCCCTGTCGTTCCCATTCAATCCTCTGTCGTTCCTTTCAATCCTCTGTTGGTCTTGTCGTTCCCTTTCAATCTTCTGTTGTTCTTGTCGTTCCCTTTCAATCCTCTGTTGATCTCGTCTTTCAATCTTCTTCTTCTCGTTCCTCTCAATTTTTCTTGTCGTTCCTTTTCAATCGTCAGTTGTTCTTGTCGTTCCCTTTCAATCTTCAGTTGCTGTTGTCGTTCCCTTTCAATCCTCAGTTGTTCTTGTCGTTCCCTTTCAATCCTCAGTTGCTCTTGTCTCTGTTGTATTTCTAAAGGATTGGCATATGGCACACCAGGTTTCCCAAGTGGAGGTTTACGACCAGTAGGTGGACTCTCGAACTTATATTCCACTTTCGCAGCCATTGAAGAAGCCTTAATATAAAAGTTGACTAAGTATCTACGACAGAAACAAAACTAAGTCCTGATTTCGCATGTAACGTGCACCAAAGTGTTTTTCAACGTGTTGGTAGTACTGTATTAAATAAAAAATTGGAACGAGAAAGGGTTCCATCGTCAATTCATGCAAAATTACAATATTATGTGTAAGTTCTCACTTTGTGATCAGGATTGTCTAACGAGTTTCTCTCGTATGGAATTCGTCTATTTGGTTCAGGTTTAAAAGGTTTTCCTAGTGTATTTGGATCTTCAAATGTTTGGACGCTTGCGTTGAGAGGAGGAGATCGCTGACCACCATCCTGTTGAGTTTTGACGCTTGTGTTGTTAGGAGGAGATCGCTGACCACCATCCTGTTGAGGACGCAATCGCGGTAGTGGGATTGGAGAGGTTGTGTTTTTTTCAGCATCTACCATAGCGTGACAAAAAACAATGATTTTGAGAAGCACATTCTCGATAACAGTTACAACTTGGGGAATGATTTAGAATTTGAATCAATCAAATATCAAATCAACCCACCACCCCTCTCCCTTATAATCGGCACATTCTAAGGGATGTAATCAAGTTTTTAAAGAGGAGAAAATTCACACCTTTCTGGACAGATTCAACATCGTTCAATATCTTCACGACACCATGACGTTCCGCAGCTCCTTTTGCAATTGTCAAATTCACGATGGAGCCACATTTTATTAAAATCTTCACAGCACTTTAAAAAGAATGAAACAGAAATAAGGAAAAATCCACGTTGATGATGTAGCGATTTCTACTGTTGTCTTCTGTTTGTACGCAACATATTATAAATAAAAAAATTGTGTTATTGTCTTCAATGTTCTATTAACTGAACTAAAAGACCAACTGCGGACTATGATGATATTTCAAAACACAGTTCTAGTTTCTTTCATACTTCAATATCATACACAATAACATCACGTTGTTGTGATGTACTCAGGTATAGTAACAAGATAATCATTCTCTTCAATGTCTGCCAACTGAATACAATACCAACTGTAGACTATGATGATATTTCAAAATACAGTTCTAGTTTCTTTCATATCTTTAATATCATAGATAATAACATCACGTTGTTGTGATGTACTCAGGTATAGTAACAAGATAATCATTCCCTTCAATGTCCGCCAACTGAACTACAATACCAACTGTGGACTATGATGATATTTCAAAACACAGTTCTAGTTTCTTTCATACTTCAATATCATACACAATAACATCAATGTACTCAGGTATAGTAACAAGATAATCACTTCAACAACTGAATACAATACCAACTGTAGACTATGATGATATTTCAAAATACAGTTCTAGTTTCTTTCATATCTTTAATATCATAGATAATAACATCACGTTGTTGTGATGTACTCAGGTATAGTAACAAGATAATCATTCTCTTCAATGTCTGCCAACTGAATACAATACCAACTGTAGACTATGATGATATTTCAAAATACAGTTCTAGTTTCTTTCATATCTTTAATATCATAGATAATAACATCACGTTGTTGTGATGTACTCAGGTATAGTAACAAGATAATCATCAATGTTCACCAACTAAACTACAAGATCAACTGTGGACTATGATGATATTTCAAAATACAGTTCTAATTTCTTTCATATCTTAATATTATACGTAAATAATAACATCACGATGTTGGGATTTATTCAGGTATCGTAAAAAAACGCGAGTTTTCCATAAGACATTACTAAAAAATTAAAAACTCTGAAAATACATACTCCTCTTGTTCTATCCCAACCAAGGACTCGCCGTCAACCTCAATGATTTGGTCACCGGGACTCACACGGCCATCCTAAAACACAAAGAAAACAAAAAAAAATCAATTTTTCGAATAAAAAGAATTCTTAAAAATGTCTAAAACATCAATCGACGTACCACAGCAGCTGGTCCATTGGCAATAACCTCTTTAACGTATATACCAGATTTTCCCTGACCGCCGCCCTGAAATATAATGTGGTTTTTTTGGATATGCAGGACTAACTCTTTTTTCCCGGATTTTTAATGATGATGAGAGGATCTTAGGTTGGTACACATAGTTTTGATTCATACTCCTTCAACGATTGTACAACCATCAAGAGCAGGGAGAAGGGAATTTTGGGACCAATACCAGCCTGATAATGCCAGGGGGAGATAGACTAGGGGCATTACAAACTCAATGATAGCAGCGGGGGGGAGTAAAGTAAAGAAATTGAAGATTTTCACCTTAGCAGCTACGATGCTGACGCCCATTCCCTTGTTTCCTTTATTTAAAGTAATTTTAATAGTCTACAAAATAAACAACATAAAAAACTGTTGAATTAATTGAAGATAAAATCCCCTGGATTTAAGATTCAATCCATGGCTTTAGATCCGCGACATAGGATTGACCTCATTCAGCCCAAAGAAGAATGTATATAATCTTCCACCATGAGATCATTCACACACATAAGGTCTCATGGAGCCCGTGAATGAAAAATTCGAATCTACACTTACGCAATTAAAAATTTTGCCACACGATTTTAAACATAATCCCAAGGTTTGTAATAGTTATTCACATGACATAAAACTTAATCCTATGATTAAGGATTATAAGTTCAAGATAAAGACATACGTATATTGTTAACATACCTCTAAAGGAGGACCCTCGGTTACTAAAAATTCAAGGAGAAAGAAAATGGTCATGACCAAACATAAAATCATCTTTTGAAAAACAAATCAACATCATGGAGTAAATTTACCTTCAACAGCCTCAAAATGAACTCTCCAGTATCCTGATGCTTTTGGTTGGATTGTAAGTTTGCATAAACCTTTAAAAGGGACAATGAGGAGCAATGAAGAACATTACGAGATTTAGAAATAACTACGTATAACATGGGCGAAAGAGCTAGGGTTAACATCAGTATTATGATGAATATGTAAATAGGGCATTGTAGAGCAATGAGGAACATGATGAATATGTACGTACAAAATTCGAAATATAACTGATCAGCAATTGTGTCATTTTTCTTATATGAAGTGTTGAGTTGGCGATCAACCTTTTGGAAGATTTTTCATTTCATAAAAATTATATATTTTAACCACAGTCAAATTAAATTATTTTTGCTATGGATAGGTAAATTTTCCATGAAAAGTTTTAATCTAGAAAGAAACTTCTTCGAAAGCTCTTCTTTATATGTTTGTTCATTCTGAAAATTTTGGAAAAACATTGCAGGAAAAACATCGGAAAGCATGAACAAAACTGTTAAAAGAAAACTTGATCGTTTCTCGATGAATTCAGCGGGTCAAAACACTAAGGATTGAGATTATCCAATCCACCTACCTGGGGCGATTAGAGGATCAAGGAACTCCTTCAATCCTGGTGGCACGCCACAAGTATTCTCGACAAAATAACTATCGTCAGGAAGTAAGAATGGTAATTGTAGTTCCGGTTCTTCTTCAAGATTTACTTCATCTCCATCATTGCGGGCGCTCTGGTCAGCGGTTCTCTCCGCAATACTAACTGCTTTTTCGATGAGGTCCAAAGAGACGGGAGGCTCGTCCCTCTCTGGCTGATAAAACTCCAAAAGTTGACGTATTTGAAGTGAGTTGAGTTTGAAGCAATTTGATGCGATGTTTGCCGAATCTTGCTTTGGCATTTGTAGTAGCAATGCTGCCTGGTGGTTGAAGGATAAACAAGGATTAATATACATAGTACATTATATGATGTATAGTATATTGTGTGATGATCGCGGACGGGATTCATTATGTAGTATACTACTTACAACAGACTGTCAAAGTAATAGATACAGGGGTCGTTACAAAAGAAAGGTGATGGACAGGGAGACCATTTAAGAACAATGCTAATGGGTACAAGGGATCATTTAAGAACAATGCTAATGTATACAAGGGATCATTTAAGAACAAATCTAATGGATACAAGGGATCATTTAAGAACTGTGCAAATGTATATAAGGGATCATTTAAGAACAGTGCTAATGTATACGATGGATCATTTAAGAACAAAGGTAATGGATACAGGGGATCATTTAAGAACAATGGTACAGGGATTATAACAGTATTACTCGACTTTATTCAAAGTATGTAAAGAAGCTCTCACCTGACCAACTCTGGCCAAATGACATTCAGCGGCCAATTCGATACCCTGAATTTTAGCCCAAGAATGAAGACGCTCTAGTCTATTGAGTAACAATATCCCCCAGGATCGAGTGCAGAGTTTGAGTTGCGGTTCAAGAACAATGCGATTAAACAACCACATGTTGATAAAATGAAAGATTTGAGAAAACAACTGGACTGTCAAGGCTGAATTGACTTTACAACGACGTAATAAGGACATCGCTGATTTTAGCGTGTGAAGTACATCGTTGACTATAGGTCGCGGCGCCTTTCTTCTCTTACCTAAATAATGGAAACAATGTTCGGGATATAGTTCAGGTAGAAATAATGTCATAAGTCGTTTAGAAATGAAAATTTATAATAGATTTAAAATACTAGGAAACTTGGAAAGAACTTAAATGCTAGCAAGAATACTTTACCGGGATACTTAGAACGAATTACTATTCTTATTTGGTAGCAAAAACGGTTTACGAGCATATTAAGAACGAATTAGTTTTCTCAATTTGTAGCAAGAGCGCATTACTATGATACTTAGAACGATTTAGTACACTTTATTGGAGGCAAGAACGCTTTACTGAGACACTTAGAACAAATCAGTATACATAATAGAAAAATAAAAGATGCGTGTAAAAAAAGTTGCAAATTAAAATTTACAATTGGCCAATTTGAGTTCTTGACACTATGAATGATTTATTTCCAGGAAAATATCCACTCCAATCCTTACCAATCCAATGGTCTCCACCAAGTGGTTGTCCGTACGGACCGTATTGCCTTACTTTGAAGCTTCGTTCACTTGATTTGTAGCTTTCTGCGGAATCAAAACTCTCATCGGCACCAGGCTCCACGCGATCATCGCGATCGCTCTCTTCGGATGGATCAAGGAACGCTGGCAGACAATTCTCCAGTTCGGCTTTGAAACACTGAATCAGAGAATGAAAGGCTTGTTGGGTTGTGTGCGCGAGAATTGTCTGGCTTTCCTCCGTAATATAAGACAAATCCCTATCTCGCTTGAGAAAATGAAGAAATTCCGAAGAGTTTGCCATCCAGAATGCCAAATTATCTGCCATGCCGTTTTTCTCCTGAAATAATCAACAGTAAATTATGTTTAAAAGACATTTTACAGCATCCAATTCAGTGAGATAAAACAAGTTTTTCACAAATAATAAACTGGGTTTGGAAGTTATCCTCGGGTATGAAAAAACTGTGTAGAAGTCCTTCACTGAACCAAAGAACAATGTAAGTTTCCCCATCCTCCCCTGTGAGGCTATCCCCATAGGTAATTTGTGTAATATACTCATAGTTCTCGAAAGGTGCATTTGTGTACATAAAAAACAGGGGGTACCTTGCTTATAAGTGTATTAACGCTTCTTCAATTTGCTCGACGGAAGAGAAAACGATTGATTGAACTACGTATGTTGTCCATCTAATTTTCATGCTACTGTAGAGAGTTTTAATTTGCCCGGCGGAAGAGAAAACGATTGATTGAACTACGTATATTGTCCATCTAATTTTCATGCTACTGTAGAGTTTCAGTCAGTCAAAGTGGAAGCACATATTTTTTATGGTTAGCACTATTTTCCACCCAGCAAACCGCCCTTTACTTTGAAATATAATATTTTACACAATATAATATTTTACACAATCTAATATTTTACACAATATAATATTTTATATAATATTTTACACAATCGTCGAAAAACGACATATTTTCCAGCCTGGGTTATAAGTTTATAACTTAAGGTGGTTGCAAGAAAATTTATACTGCAACATTTATCTGTAAATATTTTCATATTTTGATATTAAAAACTGTATTATAAAAATACAAAATTACTCGCCATCTCAAAACGACCTAGCACCAGTGCATGCATGGTTTCCTTTTAGCTTTTGGTTCTTTCCCAGAGCCATTTTAATTTATTTCCTAATTTGTAAAGTAAGGGCGGTTTCAGTGTCAAAGTGCTAACCATTTTTATAGCTACTAAACCAGTGTAAAAGCCACAGTGATCCCTCGAAGCGCAATTCCAGCGCCATTTTTGTTGTGCTTACAGAAACATAAATAGTTAATCATTGATGCTGTAAGATGTATGCTAAATCATCTGCACATATTCCGCGCCTCATTTAAACATTTTTCTCACAAAAAAGCTCATTTGAAATGCTGTAAGCTAAAATGGAAACATCTTTGATGATCCCAAATCATTGAACTGAACATAAATGATAGTCTAACTCCCCAAAAATTCAAAGCTAGAAATTAGAAATTCAATCAGTCACAATCTCTCCACAAATGGTACCGGCATGTTTAAATAAATCTAGCCTTCCAGTTATAAATTTAGTTGAAAATGCAAAGAAGTGATCTGTGACAAATCTAGTACAACCTAGAACATACATATGTATATACCTTCACAGTCTGCCACATCTTATTTGCAACTTTGTTTGCGGTCATTGTTACTTTCTCTTGTCTTTTACTGGGTTGAATATCAGGTCGAAATTTTGGAGAAAGTCGATAGCGACAGCATAAGTAGAGGGTAAAAGTTGGGGCAAGTTTAAAATTGACAGCAGAACCATTGACCTCAGTGATAACCATTGCAAACAAGGCATCTTCACCATTTTCATGGAATTCAAGGGTTGCAGGAAGGTCATGAGCTGCATCCACAACATAAACAGCAGGAGAGCCAGGATCCTTAACAAAATATCAAGTGAACATCAAGTAAATGAAATTTGATCGTTGCCTTGTGGCAATCCTTTGTCATGTGCCAGCAACTTTGGACTGTACTTCTGGAGATTCTGGAGATATTAAGTTTCATAATAAAATACCAAAAATATTTTACAAATTTTAACACAGAAGTATAAAATAAGTTTGCCGTTGACATTGTTGGTTTTATCCTTTTTCCTCTAGCAGGGAATGTTAAGATAGACTTGTGGTGTTTGTGCTACCTTTCATGGAAAATGCTGATGTTAAATACATCCATCTTGTGAATGATGATGCTATAATATTGATTTACATCAACAATTAATAAGTTCAAAATTTACACCACCAACAAAAGTGACAGTTTTAAAAACAATTGCACAATACATGAGGACAAAGCAAAATGCTGCTACATATGCCAAAAACTTTATGGAAACACATGTAGAATTTCTACAAGAAGCATGATGCTCTTTTTTGATCTCAACCTCAAAACTAAAGCCACCCTAAAATATTTTTAGAAATGCTGTAGAAAACTATCAAAAAACCTAAATCCCATTTGAAATCCCCTCAAGACAAATAATTTTTCACATAATCACATATCATTTAAGCAACAGTGATAGCGGAAAACACTATGATAATAGCATAATAACCATCTAGGATAATTATGAATGTAGGATAATTATGAATGTAGGATAATTATGAATCCATGATAATTATGTATCCAGGATAATTATGTATCCAGGATAATTATGCAAGGGGATGTGCTCTGGTTTGAATTAAATTTTGGTACATGGTTAATTTTTGTTTTTGTCACTGTATCAGTGTTTATTCTGTTACTTTTACACAATAACCATGAGACAATGTCAGAAGTGTTCTCCATTAAACACAAATCATTATAAATCTTTTGTAAGTGCAAGGTTTTTGCACATATATTTCATAAAAAGGAAATGAGAGCCTATCTTTCACACCTTTTCACCAGGTCATGAAAAGGTGCAGCAGTGAATCTATCCCTGTTTAAAATAACATTTCTTACCTTCTCTGGAGGTGAATGTTCAATAACATCAAATGTTGTTTCTTTGCCAGGTAGTGGAGTTTGTTCGCTTCTTGGCTTTGCCAAACCTCGTCCACCAGGTTTCCGACGTGGCTCATTTGTACGAACAGTTCGTGGTTGTTTGCTTTTGGGAAGATTTTCTATCCTCTTTAGATAGAAACGCAGTTCACCAGCACTTTCAGGAAAGGATGCAGCAGTTCCTGCAGGGCAATCTTCATTACGCATCACACGCTCCTTGACTCCGGAGGATGATTCTGAATCACTTTGGTTACCAGGTGCAATTGTCACCATAGTTAAACAATACTGATCTTTCTCCTCAAGAGGTATTTCAAACTTTAATAATGCCTCCTTTAGGACTGTTTCAGTTGTGTCATTAGTACCACACAATATAGTCTTATATGGATTCTCTGGTTGGAGATTCTCGGCAAAAATTCTTAGAGGGCCCCCTCCGCCACCGGATGCCTGTTGATTTTGAAGCTGTTTCATTTTCTGTTCTAATTTTTTCTCTCTTTGCATTCTCATCACAACTTCCGGATTTGATTTGGTTCTTGTGAAAGAAGACTCCTGTTTAGCACTGTATAATGCTTGTGCTATGTTTCCTGAATCTTCTTCCCCCTCAGCACCTTTATTTTTCTTATTTTTAGCACCCGCTTTGATTTGTTTAGTTTCGAGTTGCGTTGATTTGGTTTTCTGTCAGTTTCTTTGTCGTCGAATAGCTTCTTGGTGAGTTGATCTGCATCACTTTTCAACAAAAATCGACCGTCTCTGTCCTCACGTTGCCAATACAGCTGAACATACAATGGCCTTTGATCCAACTCGAGTTTGTGCACCTCTAGATTGAAAAAGTCTAGCGTTCAACTATTTGTTTGCCAACCTCAAACATATTTAAAATCATCAGACATTAAACAGGCTGAATTTTGCAAACTGCATCCGGTAAATGATTAAATTATTGGTTTCTATTTACTCAAACGCGTATTTCTTACAAGGCAACGGAAATGCAATATGGTGAGAGTACAAAAAAATATGTTTAACATATAAAAGGATTGTTTCACCATGGATTTAACCATTTTATGTACATTTTAATATGAAATAATACAACAAAAAGAAGTGTGAACTAGCTTGGGAGAATAACAAACAAGCAGCGGCACCGCCAGACATATTCAAACAAACATTTATAAAGATATCTAAAGCTTCCTGGGAATTTGATTATTCTTGTCTCGGTTTACGTTCCGTCAAACCATGACATTGTAAAAAGAGTTTCATAAACAAATCCTTTCAAAACCGTTTCAAAATCAATTCAATGCAATTATTATCACTGTATCACAACTGACGTATACTAAAACAAAACTCTTTCTACATTTGCATTGAAAAAGGAAACGAGTTTCTATTGAAAGCGTATAAACATGGGACTATACTTTGTACCTTAAACATACGTAATATAAGAAATAAAAACAGACGTTTTGTTGAATAAGCTGCCAGTATACCTTACACGAAGCGACGTTGTTTAAACTCAAAAAAAAACCCTACAATATTATTCGACAATATCGACTCTATTGAGCACTACTCGCTTCAAATACGTTGCCATTTAAATAAATACTCCAAAGTTTAACACAGCGAGGGTCACACCATTTCTTTAGCCCGTACCTGCTCCAGTTTCATGAACTTCGTAGAGTGAATAGTTCGGAACCGTCAACATCTTCATATCAGGATGAAATTTCGATACTAAAACCTTCATAACTTCGTCGGTTGTGTCTGAACTCTTCACTCGAAGAACTTTAGTCGATACTTTTGTGTCTTTCGCCCCAGGTTCTTGAAAGTAAAACCGCATATTGCCAGAGAAATCAAGGTTCTAATAACGAATAAAGATGTTGAATAAAGATGATTGTTACATGAATTTTTAAATTCCGACCCTCAACAAATGTATCAAAGCATGAAAACAAGTACTGACCGCATCGGGCTTTTTGATAGCAAACATATCTAATCTTGTCGCATTCCATTCCTCGATTAAATTCTCGAGTTCTTCTCTCTCCGAGGGGTCAGCCATCGTCCGTACAACCATTAAAAAACCTTGTGCACTTGTCTTTATTTCATGTACACTTGTAACTAGAAACGACTTCAATTCATATGATAATATTGTGAAATATCTTCGAAGGTCTATAATCTGATGCTCCTGTGTGCATATGATAATTACGAACAAGAATGTTTGTCATATTCGTTTGCTATTGGTTAGAATTGCTCGTAACCACCCGACATGGCCGACTGACGATTGAATGACGAGACATGACGAGTATTGTCAACATTCTTCGGAAACTCGAAATGCCTGAAAAAATACATTGTTTCAGAAAGAAAGGAAGGCAAATATAATGACGTCGAAGGAATTACAAAATTGAGGATTAGAGATTAGTAGACAGAATAATTAAATAGCGTATGTCAAAGTGTTCATTGGCAAGGTCTATGAAACGCCATGTATTTTCGAACTATCCAGTACCTCACTGATTGTTGTAATTTAAAGATTATCTTTGACATTTTAACCCCAATACTATTATGCGACGTACGTAAACCCATGGAAGATTGTTGCTTAAACGTGCTATTTCTAAGCAACCATTCCCACGTTTGTAAGAGTGATTAAAATTGTTGTAAAAGCCGCAAGATAGCGATACACTGCTGGATCATTGGCAAAGTTAAATTAATAAACAAACTAATTAATTAATAAACAAGTAAACAAATAAATAAATAAACTGGCTGTGCTACAATCAATTCATATTCACCATTCCCTCCTCTAGTGGATAATCGGATTATCCCAAGCTCCCAGTCTCACGCCCTCCTCACTTTAACAGATAAACAAATCAATAACAGGGTAAAAAAAATCATTTCAAAATCACATGTAGAAAACAATTCTATTGAAAATGAAGCAATGCTTTCCACGCATCCAATTACGTCCTCATAACAGTAAAAAAAAACCAGCTATAAATGGCTAGCAGATGCTCGCATCAATATTTCCATTTACCAAACACAGATATTTCTGAGCGTTTGTCAAAAACACTCCCACAATACAATATCACGATATGTACGCCAGTTTAGGAAATGTTTTTTTTTGCATCTTACGACACATAGAAGATGATTCCTGTATTTGAAAGGAAGGCTTTCGTTAGGAGAATCATACTAAAAAGGTAAAAGTCTAAAACGTACAATTACAAACGTAATGAAACATTTATTTTATTAACTATGAAGACAATTAAGTAGGAATGAAATAGCGTCAAAAGATTTAAAAATTACAAATGTGAAATGTATTTAAATACTTATGTATAAAAACGTCATTTATGAAGACGCGCATTCGCAACAAGTCAGCATTGAACGTGAAATCGGAAGAGATGTACAGGAAGGAAGTCTTGTGACTTAAGGGTAACCTTAGTATCCCTTTGTTTTGAAGAATTATTTAATGGTTTTGCAAGGCAGTGGAGTATAGGACTTCTCCATTCACTTCTTTGACTGACGACTGGAACAATTACAATGAAACTTCAAAGAAGTTTCGTTTGATTTGAAAACTTTGTATTATGAATAACCAACTAGAAAGACACTGATGAGATACGAATGTATTAAACACTTACATGAGCTAACAAAAACATCTAACTGCGTTTAATTGGCGTATTGACTATTAATTCTCAAGGGTCGGTGATAGGTGACGTTTCGACTTTCAACAGATGGAAAAATGGCGAAAGTAAACAAAATTAAATGACGGAGAATGCAGCGTCATTTGTGCTCAATATCATATTGACAAAGCTATTTATTGTGTTTTATTTAACGATTTTGGTCGAAATACCATCAGTTTCAAGTGATAGAGAGAGGATGGAACGGTCCATCAAAAGACTAGAGACTGCTCGACAAAAACGCGAAGGTGGAGGATTCTTAGTCCGTCGACCGATTGGTGACAAAATCGATTTCGCCGCATGCGATCCATTTCTGATGTTGGATCATATGGGCCCAGCTAACTACGGTCCCGGTGAGGCTGTTGGCGCTCCCGACCATCCCACAGAGGATTTGAAACGGTTACTTATATTATTGAAGGTGACGAAAAGACGAAATCATTGTAATGTGATATATTCTTGTTTCTATCATATGACGTCATTATTATGTAATTTGATACATTTTAAACGTTATTTCGTACTTTTGACACTTTGAAGTTTCATGTGAAATTGTATTTCAAGTGGTTGGCACAATGTGCTTGGAAGAGGCAAAAAGAAATGCCCGACCACTTAACCGAGAGATATCTCACCATTTATTAATCAACAAAACTTTCTTTTGCAAATTGCTCCCTATGATATAGCTGCTCCTTCAAAGTATTTAGACTGCAAATCTCATCCTTATCTCGCAATTGCTATAAAATTTTAAATGATTGATGGTGTTCTTTAGGGGGTATGACACAAGGACAGTGCTGGTAATTGTGGTAATCTTTTACCTGGCTGGGTACAATGGATGACAGCTGGGAGTGGTGTGGTGCACAGTGAGATGCCCAGTGAAGAACTTTTGAAAAATGGTGGGAAAATGGAAGGTTTTCAACTTTGGGTTAATTTACCAAAGAAAGATAAGATGGTCCGACCGCGTTACCAGGACACTGCAGCAGAAAAAATACCAATAGCAAAATCTGAAGGTTTGTGTTTTGTATGAATTATACTGGGCTTCAGAGCAGGGGTGTGGTATTGATGCCCCTGCTCAGTAATTTTTTTGCCATCTTCAGAAACCTAAATTTTGCTCCCCATTAACAAATATACTTTCCTGACTGACCTTGTTGTTTACTAAACATTAATGTTTAAAAATTATAGGGCAATTGTTTATGTAACAGTTTTGTCAGAACAAAATTCTCTTGAGAGTTTCAATTTCAGTCATTTAAATTTACTTAGATGGCCTGGCAACTGTGAAGATAATTGCTGGTGAAAGTTTGGGGACCAAAGCAGTGATCGAGACACGGTCACCAATATTATACTTAGATATCCATGTATCACCTGGAGGATCCTTTACTCAGAAGATACCACAAGATTTCAATTGCTTTGTATATGCTTGGAGGGGAAAAGGGTTCATTGGGGATACTGCAGTACAGATGGGACAGGTAGGGCATTTAATTGTTGCATAATGCAAATGGTATAAAATGTATGGCTAAATAAAGGATCATGGTGGAGTTTTTCTTGTTAGCAGTTAATTGTTGCATAATGCAAATGGTATAAAATGTATGGCTAAATAAAGGATCATTGTGAATATTTCACAAAAGTCATCCATAAACTCATAGAGGACAAAATATTCGGTCCAGCTATTTTTTGGCTTTTTCTATTGAAACACTAAAAAGTCAATCTTATGTGTCCCAGAACGAAGAACACTCCCTTTTATTGTAATGTGCATCCACACCTGCTTGTTTGCTCTGAGTTCCTTTTCTCACTATCTCCAAGGTTGCAGTACTTTCAAAGAACGGTGAACAAATCACATTGAAAGGTGATAAAAACGACAGCCTTCATGTTTTGCTTGTTGGTGGAGTCCCACTCAACGAACCTATTGCTCATCATGGTCCGTTCGTGATGAACACGTGGGAGGAGATCGATCAAGCCATTCGTGATTATCACAGTGGGAAACTGGGAAAGATCGATGGTGCTGAGGAAAGATATGCTAAAACCGAGAAGGCTGTTCGTCAGCAGAAAAATGCCGGCAGTTGGCACCAATCATTGTAAATACGTAAATGTAAATTTCAATTCATAATTTTAACAACTATATCTACGTACGTGACATTTTTATATAGTAACATATGTAGAAAGTTTTCAATAGTCGCCGACTCGCCATGTTCTTAGACAATGCGATAAAGAAACAGACTTTCAAAGTTATGACTTATTCACAAATTATACTTCTATACATACCTACGTACGCAGTTAGGACTTTCACATTCAAGGAAGATCTTACAAGATCGAAAAACAGTTCACTTAACATGTCTCTAATCTCATAATAAAGCTGTTTGCAATTTTATCTACTATCTGCTCTGGTTGCTGGTTGGCCTACTTTTTCTGGTGCAAATTGGTAAAACTCGGTGAAAGCTTGATCTGTGCGAAGTGATACAATGAACTGCTTGAAATTGTCAATCTTGCTTTTGCCATAATTAAAATGGGTTTCCCTATTTTGAAGAATGGAATGCAAAATTTTGGACTGTTCTAAAATCCTGTAAAACACACACTAGAAACCAAAAGAGAAAGCTATCAAGATAATGCAGTAAGCCACTTATTTTACTTAATGACTCGTCATCCCATCCAGCTGGTTGTTCAAGTACCCCTCAAAAATATCTAAAAGTTTTTAATAGTTTTTGTACAATACATTGATCAATTGAGATCGATAATACCAGTGCCAGTCTGCTGCAGGCTACTACGAAAAAGTCGGAGTTCATTCGTGCCACTTCGGCATATTCGTTAAGAATGCGCCTACTGCTCGGGCTAAGCTCGGCTTTTTTTCAATGTGTTTTCAACACTTGTTTATGACCAAACACAACGACTGCAAGTGTCAAACACTCATAAGCATCTTCATTTTGCAAAGTTATTTCATTCGCAAATAACTGGGGATATGTTGTTTTCTGATCACAAAACAGTACTGATTAAACTTTGACCCGTGCCGAAATTTTACGGTTGTTGACCGTTGACAAAAGTAATACTTCTTCGCATACTGATCAGTCTGGTTTCATTTTTTTACGAAGAAAGTTCTACAAATTGGATATTTTTAGAAGCTTACTCATACAACCTTTCCTTCTCTTTTCCAATTTGCAAATCTCTGCGTGGAAAAAGTGAACCATTGAAAATGGTGCACAAACAACATCTCTATCAAATAAACACCTTAATCTAATAACAGCTGCCCTTGAAGCGTGATTTTGTATTAGTAATACCTAATATTATAGTAGCATTACCTTAACGATTGTGAGAACTCAAACTTTAGGCAAAGTACGAATTTTGTTCGTGGTGCTCAAGGAAAGAAATTTGGTTTCTTACGAGCTGTTGAGAAGGTAATGGAAAATTATGTTTTTATACTCACGTTGTCATTGTCTGGAATATTTGCAAATTACGCAAACTAGAGTAAAGGAGATTTTCGACAATTTTGTGCATTGAATTTTTTTTTTCAATATAAATTTCGAAAATTTTGCTAATATTTGTATATTATGGTCAGAAAATAACAAATTTCTGAAGTGCTACAGCCGACTTGCTTAACTTAATGGAATCATTTTGCTTTGATTTCGGCAGCTCATTCTAACTAAGGTACGTACTTAAAGGCTTACGTATTATTTTACTATTGAATTTATGTTTAAAAAGCCATTGTTGCTCATGCTGATCTTTCATCACTTTTTTAGCCGTGAAAAGCTACGAAACCAACCTTGCAATTGTGCAGGCTCTAAAAACCTTGACCGCAGGTTCAAAGAATCCTTGCCATTGCAAAAGTATTGCAACAAAATCACAAAACCTCGTATTTGCCAGAATTCATAGAAACTCAAAGTAAATTTTGAAAAGCAATTAATACTTAGTGATATTATCCCAAGTATAATTGTAAAACACCAATATTTATGGAAGATCCAGTTCACCTAGATTAAACAGTAGGTTTTGGATTGAATTGTTGTTATTGTTCTATATAGATGTCTTTTACCTGCCATTTCTTGTGCAGCAAACAAAGTCTTATAAAAATGCTAATAACTAAATATGTGTTATGCACAGGTAATATTTTACCATGAAGTATATGTGCCATTGTTGTCGAGATTTTCGAATGATGTTGAGGAGAATCCATGTCCTAAAACTATGCATGACATAGTTGATAGCACATTAGCTGTTCGATTTTTGGAAAGAAAAAGTTATGGAATGTACACTGTCGTTATCCGATCTTTTCACTTTACTTTTTGTCTTATAAACTTTTTTTGTTTTTCTTAGATGTCAGCAGCATATTTTACTATACACGTCAAACTAATTCTAAAACATCGATCATTTCAGGTATTTGTTCTATAGCACTATATTTCAGTTGAATCTTTTTTACAAACCATACTCTACATTTTTATTTGCTATAGTCTGCAGTCATTAAAATTACACTTATTCCTCAGTCATCGTCCTGGAAAGTTCGGCTGCAAAAATACCTCGTACCAAGAGAATAAATCTCGTGTAGCAAAAGGTAATATGGTGAACAAGTATATTTATTGAATAAGAAACTCAAGATCAAACATTTTCACAAAATATTATTTTCAAAAAAAAGCGCTTTCTATATTACCTGAATCTGGTAACATTCTCTACAAAGTGGATAATATAATAAAAGAATCAGTTTTCATTGCTCACAACTGGCACATCCATAACTGGTTGTATATCGAATAACTTTACCATTTGAAAAAGGTAAATAAAGATCAACAACAAATGGAATTATTACTAAAGGAACTCTTAGTTGCAAAACAAAAGATCATTCAATGGAAAAATGCTTCACTAGAAGTATCTCCATTCTCAATGAAGATATGACTTCATACTTCATACATAATAGTCTTCAGTTGATAAATATATTAATCGTATGAAAGAATATCTTTTGTATTTAAAACTAAATGTTGAAAAAGCTTTTTTATTTCGATGCTTTTATAGTTTGATGTTTATCACATTAATTGTATATCAATAAATATTCACACTTGGTTCATCAATTTATTTAATTTTATCGCCATGTATTAATTTGCGAAGCTATCAGTTTGGCTACCCATTCAAATTTGTCACCACGACAAAATCTCTGTTTTAGTATATAGAAATAATATAATCAATATCGATATAAAATAAATAATAGCATAAATAATATAATTAATGATATAAATAGTATAAATAATATACAGTAATGTATAGAGCTTATGGCTTGTCAAAATCCACAAAAGGACGTCGAACGTGTTAGTAGCCAACCAAACAACGCAATTAATAAGCGGAAAACAAAATGAGTGGATTTCTGCAATTTCACGTCAAATTATACATGACTTTAATGGGTTAGTATAGCGTTTTCCAGTCAAAGGAGAGATCCCAAAGTGTTCCGGGATTCTGTTGTGTAAGTGGCCTGTGGTTTGACCCACATACGACGCGAAACAGCATCGACACGTGTATAAATAATTGCACGCGGATGAGTGGATTTCTGCGACAATTTCACGTCAAATTACATGGAAATTGACCAACTATAACACGACTGTGAGAATTGCTAACCGATTTGTTCCTAATCGCCGAAAGTTTGCTAATGTTGCAGAACCATCACTTGCTTTAATGATTCTTTCTTGTTGTTGAATGTATACTTTTTATTTATTTGAATGGCCATCATTGCAAAGAAATGCAGAATTTCTAAGTGATTAAGTATTTCGTTCAAATGCATGTTGTGGTGCGTGTTGTTGGTATAATTGAACGTATTTTTGGGCTATTGATTGTATATAGATGAAAATGAATGAATACTTTCGCGTAATGAACAGCAAAAGGTATGATGACGTAATATGTACCGAATTGCAATTATCATTTGCCTGCCACTGAGTGGAAAATAGACGCGTACATAGGCCATCAACGCCACGTCATAATCATCCAGACGTACAATACAAACATACAGTCATTTAGGATAATTTGTCATAGTTATACGTAGAAACTGGAAATAAGGAGTGGCTCTTATAAAAATTACTAGGCAATGGAGACTCATATAATGGAAGATTTGGATCTTAAGAGGATAAAAACAGAGTTAAAGTTTCAAAAATTGAAATATCTTTGGACACTTGGCAAAGGAAGTTACGGTTTAGTGGTTGCCGTCGAAAGCGACTCTGATAAGAATAAATATGCCGTTAAAATCAATTCATTTGCAAATGAAAAAGCAAAAACGTTTGGTGAAAGGGAGCTTGCAACTCTGATAAATGTCAAGTCTGAGAATGTAGTGAAATTTTTCGATAGTTGGACGAATAGTAATCACAGTTTCTTGTATTTTAAATTGGAGCTGTGTTACAAAGATTTGAGGCGCTTTGTGTACGAAAAAAATTTTGGAGGTGGTGCAACGATTGTAAAGAATCCTGAATTATATCGTCATTGTTTTCCACAAATATTGAAAGGCCTTCAAGCATTGCACGAGAAGGACATCGTTCATCGCGATCTTCACTTTGCTAATATCTTAATAGCTTTTCCTCCGCCGAAAAGTGTGCCTGAAATTAAAATAAAAATTACCGACTTTGGACTGGCTCGTTATATAAATAAAAATTCTGGAAATACTACCTTGTCCAGGGATATTGGACATAAACTTTTCCGAGCACCGGAAATTGACTCTAATAGTTCATTTTTACATTACGATGAGAGAGTTGACATGTACAGCGCTGGACTTTTACTGTATTTTTTGTCAAGATTTCTTCCAAAGCTAGACGATTGGTTCGCAGAACTTGATGATATACGGACAGCAAGAAAGTGTATAGACAGGCAGGATCTGGCTCATACCGACGACAATTTACTATGGAAAACCATAACAAACCTTCTTAAAAGAAATCCGAATGACCGCCCATTTGCAAGAGATACTTTATGCGATTGGAATCAAGATATAAATAAAATTTATGGAAATCTGGTATCCCCGAAATTTACAACTAAAAAAACTCAGAACTTCATGTCGATCATTTGTTATCTTAAACAAGAAGACGAAACTTCGGAGAAACGATGTGAATTGAGTAAAAACGATAATTTTTCAAATGTGAAGCATAAAATTATGAGTAAATTATCTATTTCTAGCCAAACGAATGTCATCTTGAAACAGGAAATAACGATTGATGGTAAACAGAAAAAGCTAATAACAATATCCGATGACAATGATGTCGAAGTTATGTTTCGAAGTGCAGGACAGTGTGACAGGCAGCGTCTTCAATTCATAGTAAAGGTTGTATCTGGAAATAGTACTGATGAAGAGCCAATGGACATTAGCGATACTTCTTAACTTCCACAAAGGTAAATTAAACAAAAATGCAGATAACGTTAACAAACACAAAATTTTCAATACAAATATTGCAGCCCAACAACATACAATTTTGAACATAGGCAATTTGGTTTTGTGCAACATTGTCCGTCGTTTCCCGGACACAAAATTTGAACAGAAACCATCCCTCCTTAGTGTCCCATAGAAAATAGTGTATTTATGTCTCCCATTCACCGGCTGTCACTCCTTACAAATCCGCACACAAATCAATCGTCTCTACAACGCTGCTTTTCCTCATCTCAATGTCAGATTCCTCTTTCGTACCCCCACACGAATCTCTTCATTTTTTCCCGTTAAGGATAAAATTCCCAAGTCTCTGAGATCTGGTGTTGTCTATTTATACACGTGTCGATGCTGTTCCGCGTCGTATGTGGGTCAAACCACACGCCACTTACACACGAGGATCTCGGAACACTTGGGGATCTCTCCTTTGACTGGAAAACACTATACGAACCCATTATTCTCAAGTATTCTTTCTCATAGTAACTCCTCCAACCACCCTGCTTCGCCAGACGATTTTAAAATCCTCTCATCCTGCTCCGACACATTCCACCTCATGATCCACGAAAACCTCCTCATCTCCAAACTAAACCTTCACTTAACACCCAAGACAGCTCCATCCCTCTTAAGCTTTTGTAGTCTCAACACCTCAACATAACTATACATCACATCACACTTACACATTCACAGTAATCTGATACCTCTAACTATGTAAATAACTATATATACACATTGTATATACAAAGTGTATATACAATTCGTATATATAAGAAGTTTATATGTGATGATTCTCCGTATAAAACAGTGCTCGATGCCCGAGAGCAGAGCGTAAATATTTTTAGTGAAGTTGAAAAAAATCACGAAAACTAAAGATTCATCTCAAAAAGCCTGTTTCGTGATTGCTCACTCTTCAGGGGATTTAAATTTTGGGATGAATCTGTAGTTTTCGTGATTTTTTTCAACATCACTACATATATATATATATATATATATATAAAATATATATATTTTATATATATATATATATATATATAAAACAATTGTCCATTTTATTTTAGTTCATTTTATCTTACGCTCTTCTAATATATAGAATATTGAGTGCTCTTTTATCCAGGAATATTATCCATAATATATATATATATATATATATATATATATATATATATATACATCTATAATTCTTGTTAACTTCCTTATTAGTCTGAAGATGTCTTGAGTCAAGACGAAACGTCACTATTTTAATAAAAATTTCACAAAACCAAATTGCTTATGGCTATGTTCAAATTTCAAATCTATATGTTGTAATATTTATATTGAGAATCCGTTTCCCGCCTGGCACCTCACTGGCAACAATATTGGCAAATGCAAAATTTCATAACGTAATCTGCTGATTTTATTAATGTTGCTATAGTAGTGATACAGTAATACTACAAACAAAGTTACTTCATAGTACACATGTGGATTATTTTATGGTCCTCGTTGTTTTAACTTGAGTCGATAATTACGTCATACATCAAAATTGGTCGTCAGCTTTTCCGAAATGATGATATTTAAAATAAGTTATTTTCATGAAAGTTTTTTCAAATTCTGGTTTACAAAAATTTTAGTTAAAAGACCAGGGACTGAAAGTACAGTACAAGAAACTCAAAGTACAGTAAAAGAAAGTAATTTACAAGAAAGTACTGAAAGAGTGAAAACTGCCAAAGGTATTTAAGGTATTAAAGTGAATATAGCATTTGCATTTCAGTTTTGTCACATGTAAATATGTTCAAGCAACACCCGTAATATAAACTCTTATCATGACAAACAGACAACTTTAGAATATATAAACCTGACGCTGTCTTTGTAATAAAGACTAAATATTACCTACTTTTTATCTAAGATCCTGTTTTTATCTTGAATATCAAGAAAACATCATGTCAATACTCTCATTTAGCACGACAAATTATATTCATACTGCTTTATACAGCACATCGATTTAATAACAAAATAGCTAGAGGATTTTTTAGATTTAGCCATTGTTGCACATTTAAACGATTTTTTCTCTGAAAATTTTTTCTTTAATTATTAATTTTAAGATTAAAAGGTCTTAACGAAGATCGTTCTTCTTGACCATAAATTCATCGTTGTCTTTGTAAGTTATTGCTCATCGATATGTCATTCATTATTGTCCACTTGAAGAAAGAGGTGGGATTGTTTTTTTAAACAGCCAATCAGGAAGCTTTAACTTCATGGGTTCCTTTTGTATCAGCTTTCCCATCATGTAATGCTGTTTTATTGAGTATTTATGTAACTCCTCTATCGCCAAGATAACTTTTCGTTTTAGTATCTAGAGTATTTCTGTATAAAAGCAAAAGTAGCTAATACATAAACATAAACGTAAACCATTAATAACTGCTGATGTAAAGTTTAAGTCTTGAAACAATAATTAAATAATGTCTGTCTATCTTGAGTTATGTTAATTTTTGTTAACATAACTTAAGAGTTCACGCAAACACTTGAACAAAAGTTGATATAATCCATTGAATGTGAAAGTCCCATAGTTTATTTTAGCAGAAGTAACGGGGAATATTCTATTCATTTGTGTTTTTTCTATTTGGAATTTTTCAACTTAAGTTAATTAAAATAAATATTAATGTTTTTGGTGATAAACTAGGGTGAATACACGATGTTTTTAACTCTGACATTTGCTTTGGACTGTGTTTAATTGCAATAAAATCTTTGAATTGTAGTATCGTCAGGATTACATGTAGATGTAGATGTACGATGTGACAATATTAAAGCCTCGTTTTCATTTGCAATTGATGACTACTGACGTCGAGATTTTTACGCATTTCATCGTTTATCTGGCGAAGTCAAGCATTAATTCACTAAAAAAGTTTTTGTTGCTTGCTTTGTTACCACTGCATGGTATTTACAGAACATCAACGTTGTGCCAGAGCTGGCTGTTACTGTCTCAAGTATACCAAAATGGAAATGGTTAGCAAATTAATAATGAAAACCACGCTAACGCAAATTAGTAAATTTTATATGAAAATCAGACTAAAGCTAGTTCATACGTTGTCATAAACATCAGACTACAGGTAGTAAATTGTAAATCAAAACTAAACATAGTCGTAGTTAGTATAAAGTGGCAGGTGAAAACCAGATTATCTCAACATTTAACTTTCAGCTTTACTTATTGGTGTTATCTTTTTGATTTTAGCCGATTTAATTCTCTCCATCAATTCCTCCATTTTTTCAGTTTGTAATTTCAAGTATTTTGTAATCTAAATCGAAGGAGAGCCTACAATATGCACATGGAGGTTTTGAATTCTTTTTTTAATATTGTTATCCTGGAAAAGCTGATGTAAAGTTAAACTTTAAAAATAGTAAATTCTGTGATCGCGTGTTTATGATAATCTTTTCTTGTGGTACATCCAAGATTTATGCCAGCATAACTTAAGAGCTATCACTTGAATAAAATTGCATATTTCCCTTGAATGTAAAAGTCCCATGGATTATCTTAGCTGAAGAAAGAAGGAATTTTGCATTTATTTGTGTTTTTTCTATATCGAATTTTTAATCTTACATAAGTTAAAATGAAGATCAATAATATGTTTTTGATGATAAAACTCCGTGTAAATTTACGATACTTCTCTGATATTTTCATTAATTACACTATGATCAATCAACATAAAATCTTTGAATTATGAAATTTTCTGGATTACATACTGTAATTTTTGACAGTAGTAAAGCCTCGTTTTTAGCTACATGCAAACGACGTTTTTCAACTTGCTTAAAAAATAATGAACATTAATATTTTTGTTGCAAAAACTTCTAAAAATATGATACTTCTGGAATATCTGGCTGTATATAAACACTTGTGTTTTATAAAATTAAGTCTTATGAGACTTAAATCACCATAAACTCTTTGTTTCTCTTTGCACACATGATTTGACTAGTCACAGGAATAAAAAATATTTGAATGTTGTGTGTATTATCCATGGATTTTCTTATAATATTAGTTACACTTTTTACCTTACGCTTTCCTTCAGTAAATCTTTAATTTATTCTAAAAATTAACAAAATATACATAATGCAGACAGTCAAAAGGCGCAAGTCTGGAGGTGTTTGTATTTGAAAGTGCAGGTGTTTCTAACAAGAAGATTCAAAAATAAAGAAAATGGAGTTTGTTAGTGTTTGGGTTCTTTTATCGTAATGGTTGTCTTACCACAATCAGGTATCAATTTTGATATATATGTCACAAGCTTGTTATTAATTGATTAGTGTTTCAAAACTAAAACATGAGTAATATCTCCTCACTTTAACAGATCAACAAAGTAAATCAAATCATTTCAAAATCACCTGCAAGCAATGAAGCAATTCTTTCCACACATCCAATTATGTCAAAAAAGCTCATAACAGGAAAAAACCCAGCTATATATGAATAGCAAATGCACGTAGCAATATTTTCATTTACCAAACACAGAAATTTGTGAGCGCTTGTCAAAAACACTCCCACAATATTACAATATGCCCGTCAATTTTAGAAATGGTTCTTTTACGTCTTTTACGACAGATAGAAACAAGCAGACGAGTACTGTTTTTGAAAAAAAAGGCTTCTTTTCGGATAATTATACTAAAAAAAAGCTAAAACTGCAATATGCACAATACAAAAATAATGACACATTTATTTTATGAACTACGAAGACAATGAAGTATGAATGAAAATTGAAAAACATCAAAAGACTTATGAATTACTAATATATTTAAACACTTATGTAAGCTAATTAAATTATCAGTCAGGAAGCCGCGCATTCGCAACAGGTCAGCTCACAGCGTGAATATCGGAAAAGATGTCCAGGAAGAAAGTCTTGTGACTGAAGGGTAACCTAAGCATCGCTTTTTGTTTTCAATTATTTCATTATTTTGCAAGAAAATTGGAGTATAGGACTCCTCCATTCACTTCTATGACTGATGACTGGAACAATTACCATGAAACTTCAACAAGTCTCGTTTGATTTAAAAACTTTGTATTATGAATAACCAACTAGAAAGACTAATGAGATACAAATATATTGAACACTTACATAAGCTAACAAAAACATCTAACTGCGTTTAATTGGTGTATTGATCTATTAATTCTCAAGGGTTGGTGATAGCTGACGTCTCAACTTTTAACAGATGAAAAAAGGGCGAAAGTAAACAAAATTAAATGACGGAGAATGCAGCGTCATTATTTGTGCTCAATATCATATTGACAAAGCTGTTTTCTGTGTTTTATTTAACGATTTCGGTCGAAACACTATCAGTTTCAAGTGAGAGAGAGAGAGGATGGAACGGTCCATCAAAAGACTAGAGACTGCTCGACAAAACGCGAAGGTGGAGGATTCGCGAAGGTGGAGGATAAATTTTTGGGCTTTGTCTATTTAAACACTAAAAAGCTAATCTCGTTTCGCAGAACGTATATGTCCACACATGCTTATTTGCTTTGATTTCCTTTTCTCCTTATAACCAAGGTTGCAGTACATTCAAAGGACGGTGAACAAATCACATTGAAATGTAATAAAAACGACAGCTTTCATGTTTTGCTTGTTGGTGGAGTCCAACTCAACGAACTTATCGCTCATCATGGTCCGTTCGTGATGAACACGTGGGAGGAGATAGATCAAGCCATTCGTGATTACCACATTGAGAAACTGGGAAAGATCGATGGTGCTGAAGAAAGATATGCTAAAACCGAGAAGACTGTTCGTCAGCAGAAAAATACGGGCAATTGGCACAAGTAATTTTAATTTCATAATTGCAGCTTCTTAAATGTAAATACTACTAATTCTATGGCACTTCATATATGTTAACTTACTCGTGAAAAGGATTTTCTGTAGTCGCCATGTTCTTACGCCAATGCCATAAAGAAACAGACTTTCAAAATTACGTGGATTTTATTTTCTAACTATACTTAAAAACGTACGCCATATTGACCTGTTTCATCGTAATATGGTTATCTGAAGACAAAAACAACAAGAAATCCATTTACTTTGCATGTATCATAAATGTCTAGGTTAATTAGTTTCATCCAAAGTTTTCTATAACGAGCAAAGCAGTTTGGTTTTATGTGAAAGCTGACATGCGAATTCCGTGGAAAGACACTTGTAATATTGACACTGACGAGGGCAACTTAAGAAGATGCAAATCTAATGTCTTTGAAATAAAGACGAAATATCGCTTACTTTTTTTCTATATTTTTTGTTTTTACCTTGAATATCAAAAAAACGCGAGATTTCAAGTCTCTGATTTATGTAAACACGAGAAAGTATATTGATACCTCTTGTTATAGCAGATCTTATTCTACAGTGAATGACGAAAGTGCCATGAGAATTTTCTATGTGTAGCCATTGATGCACATTCGAATAATGCTTTTGTGAAACTTTCTTCTTTATTTATTAATTGTCTTAAATGCAAAAAGGAATGTCTAAACGAAGATCGTTGTTCTTTATCACAAATTCATTGTTCTCTCTTTTGTTCGTTATTTTCTATCAATATTTGGTCTCTCAGCCATTTGCAGCTCTCTCTTTGCTTTCTAACACGGAATTGTACATTATTACACACATAAAGGAAAAGGTGGGATGATGTTTAATAGCTAATCATAAAGGTTTAACTATATGGGCTTCTTTTGTTTCAGCTTTCCTAAGTAATGTTGTATTATTAAGTATTTATGTAACTATTCTATCCACGAAGTAAGTCGTTGTTTTACTAACTAGAGTATTTCTAAATGAAAACAGAAGAACAGATTCCTATTATATCGCTGATAATTTGTTTAAAGTTGAACTCTTCAAATAGCAAAGTCCATCTATCACGTGCACATCAACACGTGGTATGAATGGTTTCTGTTTACAAAGCTCAACAGCTTTTGTAAACACTTGACTAAATTTGGATAACTTTCTTGAATGTGAAAGTCCCATTGATTGTCTTAGCTAAAGGAAAGAAATAGGAAACTTTGCATTCATTTTTGTTTTTTCTTTTACTTTTTTATAGATAGAATTTTTCAACTTATACCTTAAAACTTAACTCAAATGAAGATTAGATGTTTTGGTGATAAAACTCAGCGTAAATTGACGATGTTTCTCTGATATTTGCTTTGGACTGTGATTAATCACAATAAAATATTTGAATTTTAAAATATTTAGGATTACATCATTTACATGTTGTAAGTTTTTACAATATGAACGCCTCTTTTTCAGAGACAAACGCTGACTTCAACCGTCGTCGTTTATCTGGCAAAGTTAAATAAACAATATTTAACTTACAAATTTCTTAGTTACTAAAGTCTACTCGGCTGTGTTACCGCTACTAACTATGTCCCGTACATCAATCAACGGTGTCGGTATGTAAGTGCATTCAATAGCTGTAAGTGCATTCAATAGCTGTGCATTCAATAGCTGTTGAGGCTATTGAATACTAGCCTAGAAACAGTTAGTAAATGGATTATGAAAATTATATAACTCTTTTAAAGCAGTAAAGCTACTTAGCAAGTCGTCATGAGAATCTGACTTAAGTTAAAGTAAATTGCATATCAAAACTTGGACATAGAACTATAATCAACATAACACTTTATGAAAACCAAACAACTTATCTTTATTTGCCACCACTGAGTTGCTGTTTCGGTCAATCAGTTCACAGGTTCCCATTTTGGTAAACGTTATAGTGGCGAGATAATGTGAACGGTGAACCTACATCGGCTTAGTTGTGGATCACACAACGTGACATAATGTAAAATTCTGGGGACGGTTGCAAGAAGACCGAATAACGATGACAAATTTTTTGAACGTTTAAAAAACGTCTTAAAGGAGAAAAATATAGCATTCAAAATAAGCATTCACTGAAAGAAAATATTGCTTCCAACATTACAAAAATTTCTATGTTGTAAGGAAAATATAAACAATTTTACTATCCATCGGATAAAGCTATCCTGGCTTCTTGCAACCGGCCCCTGACATTTATAACAACCAGAACAATTTAAACTTTAATGCTGTTTTATTGAGTTTTATGTAACTGGTCTATCGCCGAGATAACTCTTCGTTTTGTATCTAGAGTATTGCTGTATAAAAGCAAAAGAAAAGGCTGCCATAAATAACTGCTGATATAAAGTTTAAATATCGAAAAAATAATCTCTGTCCATACTGTTAATTTATAACTCAAGAGCTCGCGAAAACACTTGAACAAGAGTTGATACTTTCCTTGAATGTGAAAGTCCAATAGATTATTTGAGCTAAAGGAACTGGGAATATTGCATTCATTCGTGTTTTTTCTGTCTGGAACTTCTCAACTTGCGTTAATTAAAATAAAGATTAATGTTTTGATGATAAAACTAGAGTGAATACACGATGTTTTTAACTCGGACATTTGCTCTGGACTGTGTTTAAATACAATAAAATCTTTGAGTTATAGTATGTTCAGGACTACATGTAGATGTAGATGTACGATGTAACAATATTAAAGCCTCGTTTTCATTTGCAATTGATGACTACTGGCGTCGAGATTTTTACGCATTTCATCGTTTATCTGGCAAAGTCAAACATTAATTCACTGTTCATCTTACGCTTTCCCTCATTAAATCTTTAATGGTTGTCTTACCACAATCAGGTATCAATTTTGATTTATATGTTACAAGCTTGTTATTAATTGATTAGTGTTTTGAAACTAAAACATGAGAAATATCTAATTGGTATTACTTATTTTTATTAAGCTTACAGTACGGAAACATGTAAATTTTGATACTTGATCTATAGGATATTTAGCTGTAGACTTAAGACTCAAATTACCATAAAATCTTTGCTTCTTTCTGTAGCAAAAAAGCAAAAATATTTCAATGTTCTGTGCATTATCTGTTTATGATATTTCCTGTAATATAATACACTGCTCATCTTACGCGTTCCTTTAGCAAATCTATAATTTATGCTAAGAATAAAAAAATCTACATAATACGGACAGTTAAAAAGCGCCAGACTGGAGGTGTTGGTATCTAAAAGTGTCGGTGTTTTTCACAAGAAGGTTCAGAAGAAGAAAAGAAAATGAAGTTTGTTATTCTGCAAGTTCTTTTTGCCGTTGTGGCTGTCTTGCCACAATCAGGTATTTATATTGAGAAGCTACGAGTTTCTTATAAAGTAGAACCCGGAGTACAACAATCCGGCTAGATTTTAAGAACCTAGCTATTGGGCTAAAATTTCTGATCTACACACTCAATATGTAAGATAAATCAAACACGTTCTTTTTTCATCATTACAACTTCAAGATATTAAACTCTTCAAAGAGTAATGAAAACAGCCCATAAATATGTCTTTATTAAAAGAATATAATGCCGAAAATGACTCGCATTTTCTTTAGAAAAGCGTAATCTATTCCAGAACATATGTTCATTGCAATGAGCTTTTTTTAGTCTTATACTTGAAAAAATCTATGTTTTTAATTATTATATACGTGAAGTTTTGCTGAAATTAATGCTTCAACATAAAGCAAGAGTTAGTATTTGATTGGTATCATTGATTTCATTAAGCTTACAGTTCAGGATTTGGAAAGACTCGCATCCTCAAGACTGAATATCATCCGAATGCGATGCAAATCATGGAAATTCTGAAGGAAGTTGATTTGGAACGTTTTGGCTTTAACAAAACAACTGAAATTGTAACGGAAAAAGATGAGAACGGAAAAACAACAGAAAAGAAAACGCTCCATTACAAAGTCACCGACGACTGCTCCAAGATAAAGTATTGGAAATCAATTTTGGAAGAGCGCATGCCCAAAGGTTGGAAGAAATGGTCAGGGATAACTGTGGTAAACAGACGTATTGTTGGTGGTAAAACAAACCAGTGTGAATTTGGTCTGGAATTTCATCCTAAAGGTGGCTTTCCTCAACAGATGGAGTCGGATAAGAGAAGCATGTCTAAAAGCAGTTATTGCTACTATTGTTACTGCTCGGTATGCTATCATTATTCAGTTGGTTATTACCGTTGTTACTGCTCGATATGCTGCTACTGATAAAAACATTTAGTTTTGCCACAACTCAGGTGTTCAAAAGGATTTTTCGTAACATTATTTCCATAGTGCATTGTTTGTAGCCTAGATTTCTTATGAAATAAAGAAAATGAAGAAGCACAATTTCGAAAAATCTATTTTTATTCTTAAGCATAAATTCAACGTTAACATTTCGATTTTCCCGTGGTAAAGTATTTGAAAACCTTTACAGAGCATACAAATAAGGCTACTGCTACATGGCTAATCCCAAGCATAAAAGTCCTTCCAATTGCGTTGACACATTTTGGGATCAATTGCTGCTATATAAATCATACAAATTCCATTATTTTACCTTTATCTGGCTTTGTAGGCTCGTGCCATTCGTCTCTTTGTAAGGAATATCTTATTATTGGCAGTGGCGTAGCTCGGAAAAATAGTAACTCCCGCCCAGCCGTGTCGCGCCTCCCACTAAGGGGTCCGGGGACATGCTTCTCCGGAAAATTTTGAAATCCAGAGCCATGGAAACAGCATTTCCTGCGATTTGTATGGCGAATTATTTGTTGTACAATAAGTTATAAAACCCGTTTTTATTAGCTGCATTCTTAAAGCGGCAATCGTCGAAACTGCAAGTAGTTAAAAAGGTATTAAAGGTGGCTCAGAGAAACGTTACGCTGGAGACAATTGTCCCCTAAAACATAATGAATCAAACTCATCACTGCCCCTGAATAAACAGAGCAAATTTGGATTAGCACAAAAACAACATAGTATACGACACTTCCTAAAATGCATAGGGAGAGATTGTTCTTAGCATTCCACTTGTTAGTTTACACTTGTTTGGATTTGAGCAGGTAGACAGGAATGGCTTTATTCTTTAAAGTTATGCTTGGTTTTCTTAATGAAGTACCATTCATTATAAGAACAAATATCAAAGCACATACGATACCCATCATTTATAAAGAAAGGCCAGCCTCCTGATATTTATACCTCCATATTTTGAAAAAGCTCATACAAGACTTCTATATTTTTTTCTATACCCTACGTGCAATGTTGTTTATATAAACTAAACAAATACTACATATAAATAAAGTGAAAGTTACATGTTATGCTTACGTGTCGGCTTCACTAAATTCGAATATTCCAAGCAGCACTTAATATAATTGGACCACAGCAGGAGAGTCTAAGCCTTGGCTCTAATTATACAATTAAAGCAATTTTATGGTTAAATATGCAATTTTGATTTTTGAATTTGACAGTTTTGCAACTTTTCCTACTCCCTTTGATTCAAGCGTTCAAACTTTGCATGATTCAGCTGTAGTGGATTTTTAAAGAAGTAAATATAGTTGAAAATCTGTAACACACAAATCTCCTAAACTCCAAAGTATAATGATTAAAAAGTTTGCTTCATGGAATGATTACCCTCGTTGGCTTTACAAATTGACTAATATTAACTGAAAACCTTCAAATTTGACTGTATGCCAATCATCTCAAGCTGCTTTGACGGACAAGCTGCAGCGCTGTTATTCATTTTTATTAGCGCGTGTGGTCTTGACTTAACTTGGCTTTGATTGCAGCTCTGAAAGTGCTAATAGCAGCTTAAAATAAGTTAAAAACGGCTATTATTGCCTTGGTTTTTAGGATGAAATTTCATCTGGGCCTAGAGCGTTGCAATGAACGTTTCACCATCGTATTTTTCGTCGATATGTCTGCCATTATTTTCTAAAATTTATAGTTTAAATATCTCGGTTCAGTCTATTGGTTGTGTGATGAATTTGCCATAAAATCAATGTTTTGCCACGTTGACCACAAATATTATCGATTTTCCTCGGTTTTATCCGTCTATAAAATATTGCTAAAAAATATTCACCGATTATTATTCCTTCTTCAACGGAAAGAGAGGTACGGTTGGGGCATAGCTATCTTCATGACGATGCAATCATTATCTTGGCATTCGCTCAAAGACATGTCACCAACTGTTGGGTCATTATCTTCTACTGGGCTATGTCGGTTGACGTCGCTTCATAGTTCTTTGTTGGTCATTCTCTCGTCAGTGAGTAATTTGGCAGTTAAAATTTCATCCAACACCAACATTGCTTCATTTCATCGTCAAAATTTGCACGAAACTTCTCTCTTTAGAAATGCGAACCAAACGAGACTGCAGATAAGAATGTAAATATTAACAACTTTTATCAATTTGAAATATTTACATATTCAAAAATGCACAATTACTTCACAGTCATGTTCCACGTTGCCTCGCTTTCTTTCAATTTGAATAATTTGCAAACGTAAACAAATACTTGATAGTTATTAATCAACACAGCATTTCTTGGTCAACGAGAACTTTTAATCAATGTTGTTGTCTTGTTCAAAGAGCTGGTTGCCAAATCAAGAACTCAAACCTCATTGGGCGTATGATGTCTTAGGATCTATCATATAATTAATTACATTTGCGCAGTCGTTTTTTGACAAACCCTCAACCCTGTATCATGTGCCAGTTCAGTCAATTGTCTTGATAAATACTTTACGAAATGCAATACTTTGTCTAAAACAGACTAAACAAGAAAACTTGTACTCGAGTTTCTTTACTTTACATGAATTTCGTTGTAATCTTACTTTTTTCGTTATTTTTTATAACTAAATTAACGTGTTCAGAACCAAGTTTAATTTTCCGTACGGTTTCATTATATATTGACTTCGCTCAGCATCGCGGGAATTTTCCTAAAGTATTTTGTATATTAGATATTTTATGTATTTATTTAAGATCTATGGAGAAACGAGAAATTAAATACTTCACATCTAACTTGTGAATTTTTCATTATTATGAAAATTACTGAAGTAAAAATAGTCTCATTCGTATGGTGAGCTTCAGCAACGTATACAGTACAACATTTACTCCTGTTTTGTAAAACACTTTATTGTTTAACAATTGTAGAAGTAATCAATTTCTAAAGAAATCATTAATTGTAATCATTCAATAATTGCAAGACTAAACAAATCTAGCTGTATTGACTAAAAGATTGCAAGAATACTGATATTCAATTAATATCCTATTAAATCAAAGCAAATTACATTTGTTGAATTAAGAATTGAAAACAAAAGTAAAAAGTATTCTTAAAGTTCGTTCACGTTTCTCATGTATATTTTATGTCAATGACTCGCAGAAGAGGAATTTAACTGTCAAGAGCTTCATAAATAACGAGAGAAATTTTTGTATGGGGTGGTAAGTTCCGAAAAGCAATCAACCATTCCTGCCAACGTTTTTGGTAAAGAAGAAATCTGGTAATAGATCGTTGTTCTTCATGTAACACAAAATGTTTTGTGAATTTCTTGTAGAAAACCATGCCTCTAAGGCAACAAAAATTGACCAAATCACATCATCATCGTGATTATTCAATGCTCACTGCTATAATTAAAGAGAGTCTTTGAACAGCAAACGTGAATGAGCTGTAAGGTCTTTAACAATGCAGAATTATTACTTAGATTTTTCTTCATTTTTCTGTCTTCATGTGGAGTTATTGTTGACGGCCATGGTTTCTTTTAAACATGAAAGAATTGTCGTTGGGAAATCTCTGATGACATTATTCAATGTATTATTGATTGAGATCCCTCCCCTTCCTTTTTCAAAGATAAAAATTGCTCAGTGGGACGTTTGAGGGATTTACTCGACGACGTCAGAGTATGAACACTTAGAGTTTTGAAATCACTACTTAATATATCAAGTTGAAATATTTGCTTTATAGTTATGAATGAAAACCAAGAAATTGCAATTCTTTGAAGATGTATAGATGCTCAATTGCTCATTTGAAATCAACTGCTGAGCGCAGCCTTTCTTTTACGTGATTGTTGCTACGGAAATATATATTGTATTTTACTATTATTAGATTTTTAAAAACGATCTATCAAGTTAAACAATTCAAAATTTTGTGTTCTTCAGCAATTTATAACAAAAACAGCAAGAAATCTGCATAATGTGGACTGTTGTAAAGCCCAAGACTGGAGATGTTGGCATCAGAAAGTGTTGGTGTTTCTTACAAGAAGGTTAAGATGAAGAAAAGAAGATGAAGCATGTTAATTTGTGGGCTCTTATGCCCGTAATAGTTGTCTTGCCACAATCAGGCATGTATTTTGTTGACGTGCTACATATTTTTTAAAACTTAGTGTTTTAAAATAATTTTAAAATAAAGCAAAGTAGCAATCCTTTTCATTTATATATCATATGGAGTTTGTGACACACTAATGAAAGTGAAGCGATTCGTATCTTCGACCCTGAATTCCATCCAAGTTTCAATGAAACGAAAAATTATTAAGGGAAAATTAAGGGAAAATTTGGAAAGTTTTAGTTTAAAAAGAACGAATGAAACAACCACAGAAACAGACGACAACGGGAAAATTGTACAATGGAAGAACATAAATTACCAAGTTACTGACGACTATACAAAGGTAAAGCAATGGGAAACAATTTTGGCACAATGTCTGGGCAAAGTTTGGAAGAAACGTTCATCGATGATGGTGAAGGAGGTAAAAACTCGTATCGCTGGCAGTAAACCAAAACAGTGTGAATTTGGTGCGGAATTTCAATTCAAGGATGACCCTCAGAAGAGTGGGGAAAAGGATGCAAGAAAACAAGAAAACGTGGTTGGGGTTTTGGTATTCCTAGGTATCGTTGGAGACGCTGGGGCTAGCTGGATGTTTATTCCTTATTCAAGAAGTGACTATAACAATGTTGCTATGTATGTCGTTGACAATTCTTTTTACTGTAATAGCGTACTTCTTAAGAAAATAAAACAAAATTCGGTTTTCGTCACTGAAATTTTTTTCCAGTGGTACATATTCTTGTCAATTCATGTTTTAAACAACTTAGTTTCCAGGGTCGTTTTGCTGGAGTTTTTTTTTAGTTTCCTAAGATTGTTTTTCTTATTGAAAGTTTGTTTTTCTCAGAGTTGTTCTTTTGGGTTATTTTTCCCATACGTTTTTTCCTATGGTTGTTTTTCCCAGTGTTGTATTTCCTGTGATTGTTTTTCCCAGGGTTGTACTTCCTAGGGTTGTTTCTCCTAGGTTAAACACGGAAACATCTTCAACTTACGCTGGTATTCACCAGGATCGTACGGAATAGAAATTTACAACAAAGTTAAAAAGTACATAATAGC